TGAGCATTAGAAAGTGCTTTTATGATGATGTTGGTCAAGAACAAGAGGCTATTTAGGGTTGTTTGTATCCTTCTTACACTTATATATCATCACATGACACATTTCCTACACTACATTTGTTTACAGGTAAAACAGAATAGATTTCCGTAGTCAAATATGCAGGGGACAAAACTGTTACAATGGGTTTAGGGTAATGATTCATCAATAACTTGGTCAATACCTAATTAAATCACATTTAAATCACATGTTTGTGGGATCTATCATATAGCCCAGATCCTAGGCCTTCCAATGGTACCCATAGGTACTATATATTAATGGCTGGTTCATTAGATATAGGCCTAGCAACACAACTGTTGCAAATATTGCAATACTTTTGTCCCCTACTGTATACCAGTGCTGGTTGAGCTGGGTTTCCCCAGTCTTGACTTAGTGTTTCCCCTGCTTAGCTCCCATGAGCCTAAGATCTTACATGACACAGTGGAATTGCCAGGAGTGCTCAGTGTGATGCAATTTCAGCATCACATTCATACCTACTGAATGCCTCCTTGCCATAGACTCATATCTTAGTGCAGTCAATGCTAGGTGGACAACCTCATCCTCTGCACCACCATCTGACAGGATGAACACTGGGCTGACAGGTCATCCTGCTCAGTCTTGATCACACATGTTGTAAGTCATCACACACTCTTGCACAAATCTCATGCTCCCCCCCCCATCTGCCACTGAATCATAAGAGGCTGCATTTATACTGTGCACTAGGAGGCTGTCTGCACATGATATGGCAAGAGTGGTTGAGGTCCCTCTCACTGTACTCCAGTCCTCATAATTGCTGGGCACAGCCGTCCTGGACATCCTTTTCGCTTGACAATAAAACATAGACGACACGGTAAAGAAACCGGTACTAGTGCTACAATAACAGTCCGTAAAACAATTAAGCCTCAGCCATTCTCTCGAAAAACTGCCGCAGAGTGCCCGACAGCACCTCCGGCAGCGCCTCCACGTCCCGCAACACGACGTAGTACTCAAACGGGAACGTGTCCAGGTAGCGCTCCACATGCAGGTCCATCCGCCCGTCCACCGTCCTGTACGCAACCTGCGACATCGACAGGATCGAATTCGCGTTCTCCCCCGTCCCCCCCGCGCCCGTCGCGCTCCGCGCATGTAACGAGTCGAGAATGACGAATACGACCATCACGCGCTGCTCATACGCCTTCCGGAGCACACTCCGCAGCCGCTCGTGATCCTGGCAGATCCCGTCGCTGATGATGATCTCGAGCTGCCACAGCTCCCCCGCCGTCGCCGACGCCATCGCGCGCCGCTCCCGCGCCCGCTCCAGCATCCGCAGGCTCGTCTCGACGAGTCCGAGCACGTGCGTCGCGGGCTGGTCGAACGCGAGCGCGCTCGCGACGCCTGCCCCGGCCGCGTCCGTGAACGGCCCGGCGTCGAACGCGTGCAGCACGTCCACGCCCGCGCCGAACTTGGCGATGGCGAGCTCGCCGACGTCGAGCCGGCTCAGCGCGCGTGCGACCAGCGCGAGGGTCTGCAGTGCGAGGTGGACGGAGTGCGACTCGGCCATCGAGCGCGAGTCGTCTAGCGCGAGGAGCACCTGGTACTCGCGCGTGCTAGGCCGCGTGCGGCGGAGCCAGATCTTGTCCTTGGTGAACTCGCTGGCGATGTACGGGATGATCTTTTTCATGTTCAGGCGTTTTCCCGTGCGGTAGTCGCCTTTGAGTCGAGTCGCCATCGTCGGCTCCAGGATGAGGCGGAGCTGCTCGCAGAGCGCGTAGGAGAGATCGTGCGTTAGGGACTCGTATTTGCGCCAGATGTCGCCGGCCAGATCGGGCGATTGTCCACTGGCTCGCCATTCCTGCATCATGAGCTCGACTTGCTCTGATTCGTCTTCCAATGCGGGAGAGGCATCTGGATTAGGGTTTGGAACGGCACCATTGTCAAGATTGTCTGGGAGAGTAGAGCGGACTTCACTCGGCATCAGTGCACGCTGCGTATTGTTGCTCAATTGCTGAGAGGTCTGTTCCGCGTGGAGGGACGATCGAGGCGGTGCATGCTGGTATGGGTCTTCGTGCACCTGATCTTCTGCAGAGGGAATCGAGTCGAGGGACTGTGGATCTTCGTTGACGAACTTGAGCTCGTCCAATTTGGCAACATCCTCGTGCTGAGCAGGACCAAGGGCTTGCAGGCCCTCTTCGGTATCATCGGGCTGTAGATACTCCATCTGGGCAGTAGGATCGGACTGCTGCTGCATGGGGTCCTTACGCACGCCATCACTTTCGAGGATATCGTCGAGCCGCTGACGAATCTCGCGGAGAGTGTCGCCTAGGTTACGCAATGGGTTGCTCATGGGCTGGTTCGTTTTCGACTGGACGGAAGCCTCCCCGCCCTGCGTCCGCTCCGATCCTGCAGCGTTTTCGCCAGCGTCTCCCGCGCGGCTCTCAGACTGGTTGACATCCGAAGGCCTACGTAACGATAAGAAAGAGTCACAGAATAATATAGCCGACTTACTCTGTCCTTGTTATATCCTGCATGTCTTGGTGCCCTTCATCTGCTTGTGGGGTCATATCGACGTCCTCGCTCTGCCCCTGGGCTGCCATCTCAGCGCCGGATCCTTCACCCTTCGCTTCGGACGCGGATGCACCATTGGACATTCCCTGATCGATCCCATCCCCACCGTGTAGGTCTGGCTGTGCAATTGCATCATCCTTGCCTTCTTCAGGGTGCCCATCTGCCGGCGCATTGTCCTCCTGCATGGATTCCGCCATGTCCGGCTTCGGATCTTCCGCTTCAGCTTCTGACTCTCCATCGGCGTTCTCTTGGTCAGGATGATTTTGGTCTTTTTCAAGTTCTTCCTCGTCGCCCATGCTGATGTCGTCGTCCAGTAGCTCCTCTTTCTCATTCTTGCCCGTGTCAAGGTCTAGATCGTCCGGTAGGTCTAGCATTTCTGCTTCCTGAATGTGATCGTCTAGAGGTGCCCCACCCATGGCCTCGTCTGGGCCCGCTTCGTCTTCGTTCATCGCGTCGTCTACAATTTCCTCGCCATCCTCGGGCACGCCGTCTTCCTTTTTGTCTGAATCCTCCTTGTTGGTATCCTTTCCGCCACTGTCTTCTTTCGCCACCATCTCCGGTTTCTGCTGCTCGCTTTTCGAATGATCTTCACCGCTCTTGCCTCCGTCCTCGCCATCATCCTTCGGCCCTGATTCATCACCCCACAGCTTTTCGTCTACCGCAGCCGGGTCGGACGTGTCCAAGTCACCCAGTTGTTCTTCAGGATCCCCCTCGCTCTCTTCATCTCCTTCCTCCTCTCCCTCTCCGTCTGAAATATCCTGCATCTGCCCACCAATGTCCTCGCTCATCTCTACCGCATTTCCCTCTTCCGCCCTTTCAACTTTCTCGTCCGGATTCGACTCTTCGCCCTGCAGGCCCTCCACCTGACTTTCGTCCTCAATATCCTTGCTCACGTTCTCATTGCCGGCGCCATCTCCCAGTCCAGTCCCATCCGCTTGGAGCTCCCCTCCCTCTTGGCCATTGCCTGCCTCCTCTGCGTCGGGCGGTTTGCAGAACCCTTCACGCGCGAGACTCCGTACAACGTTACAAACGACATAGTCCAGCTTGAACAGCGCCCTCGTCCACTCGCTTTGCTGTCGCACGTTCTCCCTTGCCAGCCCGACGTACTGATTGAGGAAAGGTAGTACTCTCGCGAGGCGGACGTCCTTTTGCGCTTGAGGACATCGAGCAGCTTCGCACAGGACTGTATGCACACGTTCCACAACTGTACTTAGCTTCAGCGCGCGAGTCAATTGGAGTAGCATTTTGTGGTCCTCTCGAACAAACCCGTCTTGGCCCTCTTGCTCGTCGATTGCTGCAGATGGGCAAATTACTATCAGTGCTTGCATATTCAGCAGTAGAGTGTCGATCAGTGGTCCTGTGCTGTCTTCGGTATCGCCCTTGTCCGTTTCGTGATAGCCCGGGAGTGTTTTGTCCTTGAGCCAGTCCCGCACTGGATTTGTGTGTAAGGCGACGAAGTCTCTGTCAGTTCCCCACTTTTCGAGCGCGTTGAGTGTGTTTGCTATGTGCTCCTGTGCCCACGTAATCTCGGTAGCTTCATCTACAAAACAAGGATTAGTGAACTGCCCGTGGTCAAGGAATGTGCGCATACCTTTGAGCAAGATCGGCTCTCGCGTGAGACGCATTTTCGCCACCACCTGTGTCACAGATGACAGCAGTTGTCTGGACACCTCGACTGTGGACTGTATTTCGTCCAGCATTTCCTGACAGATCTTTGCATGTGGAAGGTGCGTGTGGTACTCGCGTAGATAATACAACATCTCCTCTAATGCGTGCACGAGCTTGCAGTACGTCTCTTTCATACTCGACGCGTGTTGGAGTGCTTCGAGCCCGCCGGAAACGATATCACCCGTAGCTAACATTTGTAAGCGGGTTACCGCGTCTTCCAGCTGGGCAAGCTCGCCAGATGCCTCGCATATGCTGTCGTAGAGTCAGTAACTAAAAAGGTAGGGATGTATAGAATCGCACCTTTTTTGACTATCCAGCGCCATGTAATATCCAGACTCGAGAAACATGACACCTCGCTGGAGCTCTCGCGTGTTCACGTCCTGGTGATGATCGGCCAGAGTAGCTCTTACGCCAGGAAGCAAGCTCGCCAGCCGATGTAGGTACTCCTCCGCTCGTGCAAGCGCGTCAGGCACACTCTTTGGATAATTGTGTGCATCCGGCGATGCGAGCATCTGCTCCCTCAGCCAGCGCGAACTGTGCAGCTTGCTGAGCACCTCCGGCTTGACGCTTGCTGCGAGCCCAATACGCTTGAGCTCTTTGAGCAGCTCGCTCCATGCGCGTCGCTTCCGCGTGAGGAGCGATTTGAACAGCTTCTCCCGTTGTGCGGAAGATAGCCCCGATGGAACAGGAAATGCAGCAAGAGCGTGCGCTTGAGTGACGATCTCGTGAGCGAGGTCGGAGATGTGTGTTGTGGAGAATGAGCGCAGACAGGGTACCATGCGATCGATGATGAGCCTCTCGAAAGTCTTGTATGTTCTGTTCAGGTAAGCCAAGTGAGGAGATACGTCCGTCGTGGATAATGGATCGGGCAACTGAAGGTTCATAGACACAAGTCCTAGATCTACGTCCGGAATCGGTAGGGACGTTTGCTCCAATTCTGGCGCTTCCGCGACCTTGGCTCCTGGCACCATCAGCTCAGTAACAGGCTGCCGGAGAACGTCGCGGAACTTGCGGATGCTCTTGTATAGTTGTCGATGAGTCCTCTGCGCGCTTTGCTTCAGTGCATGCACATTGATATCCTTCCAGCTTGCGAGCTTGATGAACGCGCGTACATCTTTCTCTAGCACTGCCTGCTGGCTTGCGAGTCGGGCATTCACTGCGGTGGCAAACTGCCCGTAGAAGCGCACAGTAAAGCGCAGAATGCGCGCGGTACGGCCGAGTGCGGCTTGCAGTTCCGGTTGTGATATACCTAGCCGTGAGTCGATGAGTTGCTCAATATAAGCTGTGAAGCCGGAAAGCAACTCCAGACGCGTGTGGTACTGGCCAATGGGGCTTGACGTGAGGAACTCGTCGAGGAGAGGCACCAGTCCGTCCAGATATTCAGTTACTATGGTGACATCATTCCCCGCTTCGTTCACCGCAGCCATGACGCCCTTGATGAGTGCTTCATAGAGTCGGAACCACCATTCGAATGCACCGTGCGCGAATTCCCTCGCCTGGGATTCCAACAAGCCTTGCCAAGATGAGAGCTCCAGCCTGCGCCATTCGACAATTAAGTCAATCATGTTCTGTTGAAACGTTTTTAGGGAGTTGTCTCGGTTCGCGTACATCTCCCAGTCTTCGGTCTGCAGCAGGAGCTGTTCGAGAGCGGACAGTACCTTGGCGACAGGACTGGAGAGACTGAAGTCCAATACGGCGTCGCATCGCGTGCGGAGATATTGCAGGACCATCTGATCAGGCCACTCTTGAATTAGTTGTTCAAGTCGGGCGCGGAAGGACACAAGAAGCTCTGATCCCTTTCTGGTCTCGCGAACGTTAGCGTCTAGATAAAAGTTGTATGTCTGGCGATGGGCGTGGGTGCCTTTCAGTAACCCGAGATATTCATGGAGGAAGGGTATTTGGAACGCGCGGCTGTGGACATCGAGTGTCTCAGGCAGAGAGGTCGCTTGTGATTCCAGAATTGTTGCCACGAGCGACCGGCGGGAATCTAGGAACTGCTTGGTGACATTTGACGAAGGCTCCGAGTCTGCACTAGGTTTGAACATACACCGATGAAGTTCCCCTAATTGAGCGGTTTGCTGTCTATCGAATAAGGGGCTATGCTTTGAGGCTACGCACGCTTCCGGTGCGTCCGTATCGAAAACGCCCTCAAACTGGGGGAACATCGACAAGAATTCTTCTTCCTCCATGTCGGCATCCGTCGTAGCACTGTGTTCCAACTTGTTCTGACGGTAAAGTGACTGTGCTGCTCTATCAGCTTCTTCGCCTCTAGCTCGTTCAATAGACCAAAAGCCAAAGATTTGCTCGAAGATCGCCTCTGTTGTATGGATATAAGACTGAGTATCAGATCCCAGTGATGCTTCCAGAACAACACCTGCAAGGTTAGACAGTAAAAAGATCAATGCCGAGTGTGCAGACGATGACGGAGTCGTCTGGACACGTAGCAACTCGGCACTGCGCACGCTGGGAAATGCCACTAGTGCTGAGGTAACTTGACATAAATCATTCGAAGCAGGATCTGCTCGCCTTGCATCACATACGAGTAAGCGAAGACCAAGCTTGAAGTAGAGCAGAGCAAGTTCGATAGGTCCATTAAGATCACTAAAGTCGGGATATGCTGTACGGAGTCGATGGAGGAAAGCTGTCAGAGACTCTTGCACAACCTCTTCGCGCATGAAAACATGAGTATCTCGTCGCTCTGAATCCATTACGATCGACCTGATTCTCGCCGGGGATATAACTTGCGCTATGAATTGTAGTATTTCTGCCCAAAATGAGTGCAGTCGGGCTAGGTCGTTGCGAGCTGGGGGCGGCGCCACAGCGCTGCAGGAAACATGCCGCTCAGCATCATCCAGGGCGAACTGTAGATACTCTATTGAGGGATTTGTGTGTAGTCCATTGGTACGCCTTTCGTACTCCAAATGCAAGCGCAATTGACTTGAGAGATGTGCCATCTCTTCACTCCAGAAGTTATGTGAGCACCGTTGCATAGCAGCAGGATCTATCGGCGTGTTTGGCACATAAAGTTCAAGCGTCAATCTTCCGAGGGCAAGCCAACAACGGCCGAGGAGTCCCAACATCTGACTTTCCGAATCGAAGGGGCCTTGTGGCAACTTTTCGAGTTCAGGAAGCAGATAACGCTTGAAAATGTCTTGAATCGCAGGTTGTTGGATACTCTCTATGATATGCAACTGGGAGAACGGGCGGGTCAGATTTCCACGAGTAAAGTAGCTCTCGCTAAGGTCGGATGCTCCAAAACAAGAAGATATCTAGCCGGCATGTCTATTAGCGCATACAAATCGTGCAACGTTTATTCATAGCCATACCATGGTGACTGATTGAAATAACAGGTCTTTCAGTTGCGTTGTGCGAGTGGCATCATACTGAAGTAGTGAGGTGGCGAAGATATCCAGACGACGGGTAAGAGCTCGTTCTACTATCTGAAACGATTTAAGCGGCTTTCTAATCAAAACACTGAACAAACGTCATTAGTATAAAGAGGTAGCACGCGCTCGGAAGAATACGAACGTATCCAAAACAGTTCCGTATAATTCCATGGGGATTAAGAAAACAGTTGGCCCCTTCACCTAGAAACATTATTAGTAGAGCTTAGAGTGAATGAGGAAGTGATGGCCATACCTCAGCTAATGGAGGTATACTCCATATCCCCTCAAGCCATTGCTCATGCAGTTTAGCGATATAAGGAATTGGTCCTACGTGACTACTTAGCACTTAAGGCAGGCAGAGGCACATTCTCAACGTACGATCGCCCTTCTCATATGCCCATAAACACTGTCGCAGAGGTACCAGTCGGCACAGTGGGACATGTCGAGATGAAACGTCAATGAAATCCTGTTTCGGGATTAAACATTAGCTCACTTTCCATAACCCAGCGCAGATTGGTACAATACCTTGAGTAGCCCTGAACCAGTACCCTTGTCTCCTTGGGACATAATACCGAGTTCGATTGCGAGACACAAATCATCAAGGGGCCCATTCGTCTGGCCTACTGGTAATAAAGGGGCACTTTGCATATACTAGTGTGCCGCAATTAGGACAGGTCAAGCTCATAGTAACCATACGTACCGCAACTAGATTCTCTGTAAGATGTGCAAGCTCATGCCTTTCACTCCTCGTCGATATCCCTGGTAATCTCAACAGAGACAGTAGATCGAGGATCTCCATACGCCTCGCTATAAAGCTGTCAATAACGTGATAAGCTTTACAGTTCCTGAAGCGCACCATCTTGACCATTGAATCGGCTCATGGCGGATTCGAGCTGACTGATTTCAGGTATCAGCGGCTCCTTTAAGGTTGTCAGAGACGACCATAATTCAATGAGACCTAGACCAGACGTCAAGGAGACCATTTCAACCAGAGCATTGGCTGAGGGAGCAACATCAACAAAAGGGTCTTGATGTTCTTGCAATGTCTCTATAATCCATCCAACGACAACTCGAATCTCCGAATAGTCCAGCTGTGCACTCGATACAGCCCTCTGCAGATGACGGCCGCAGGTGAGGAGGGTCAGCATTACATCCAGTAACGTCTACAGAATGTGTCAGCGAAAGTTTCTGATGTATGCGCCGCAAACTTACTTGCATGGTAGGTCGATCGTTATTCAACCCTTCGAGCAAAGCTTGGGCTGCTCTTCGAAGTTCTATGAGAAGTGCCCTGACCAACATCGCCACTTTGCTTTTCGTGTCATCAGCCTTGCGATCACTGCGTACAGCAATCCGGTTATAACCCTCAATGGATGACTCAAAATCCTCGTAATCAAGCTTCAGCGCTACGGTCAGACGAGAGGCTCGCAATATAAGAGGAGACTGTCGCTCTTGTTCAGGAAGGACTAATTTCATGGCTGATCTGTAGTCAAAATCTAAGGACTACAAGAGTCAAAGTAAGTGCAACATTAGACATTATAGGTTTTTGCCGGCGAGTTAAATGGGGCTCACTTGACTTAGTAGGAATTCAAGAGGAATTTTATGTGAACGACTGATACGCTCACGGAGCTGGTAAACACCATGCACCAATGCTGTCTGGGGAAAGGTCTTGATAGCAGAAGAAATCAAAGAGATATTCGAATCTAGTCTTGGTGACGTGCACGATTGTGTACAGCGGGTGAGATAAGCCAAATAAAGTGGTGCAGCGCTACTTGTGATAAAGTTTGTCAAAGGTCGGAATGTAGAGCTTGCAAGCGACGTAGCGTGTACCACAGGCGCCAAATCATCGAGCCAGCTCATTGCGGAGTCCTCGCCAATTAACCGCCCGCTAGGTTTGACTTGCCCATCTATAAAGGACGTAGCTCGCACCAGTCCACGTCGATAAACCTCGTAGCGCTGTAGTACTACCTTGATGTTTGTTGCGCCGAGGTTGGACGGGAGGTGGAGGCCATCCAAAATTCGCCTGCTATCCTCTTCACTAGGATCGTCCACAAGAGCAATTTCCAGTCCACGATTGCGCATAGCACGAGACAATTCTCCGTATTGAGGATCGACGCTCATAAACAGTCGGAATTCGGGGTGAGGTTTTATGAGCTGGACCGCACCATTGACCTGGCCTCGTTCGTTCAACACCAGAAATCCATTGGTTTCGCACAAAGAGTTCAGCCTATCAAGAATGGAAGGGTTACAGAGATTGGCACCATCCAAAAGGAGCCAGTGGCCGTCCCTGAGGGCGCGCACAAGAGGCCCGTCAACCCATTGTAAACCGCTTCTGTGCTGAGTATGAGACACTAAGTTCTGGACTATAGCCATGAGCGTCACTTTCCGTGACAATAATGGACCAGATAAATTCCGCATTCCATCCAGCACTTTCTGCGCGTCTTGGAGAAGGTCTCTGGTGAGCACCGATCGGTCATCGTGAATAGCTAACGTGAGCGCGCTGAAGGCTTGATCCAAAAGCATCTTCGAACCGTCAATCGAGGCAGACACCTCATCGACGAGATTGATCACCCCTTCTACCGCGCTTCGTATGTGATGGCTAATATCGACTTCTTCAAAGCCTCCCAGAATGTCTGCAGCATCAGTTGCGCTGTTGATCGAGACCTCATGAAGGGTGCGACCGCAGTGATGAGCTAACAATCGCACTAAAGACGTCTTACCGCTACCCTGCTGTCCAATAACTATAGCCAGCCAACCATTCGAGGCACAGGTCCCCAAGGCTTCCAGAGCGCCCAAGTGAGTTTGTAGTATTCGTCCAGATGGGTGGATATTTTGTCGACCTAAGCGAGGAGAAAAAAACTCTCCAACTTGCATAAAAGACGGTGATAGTGTGATACGCAGATGATCATGGTGAGAGTAATCTAGGAAGATCTTCTCGAACAAGATGCGAGCTTGTTCCCTATCCGTAGTCTTTCGGAATCGCTGGAGAAAATTTGCTGACAGAAATTGGGATGGATGGCTTTCAGGGTTTGACTTTTGTAGAAGCGTACCCCATCGAATGACATCACGTAAATTGAATTCCCAGGGCGTACCTTCCGTCGCAAATGACTTCTTAATTACAATTTCTTCATTCAACCGACTGGTGTAAGTGATCATTCCACGAAGCAGGTCTTCAGATTGAGACGGAAATAGAGCTTTGCACACTAAGAGGAGATCATCCGGGGTTAGTTCTTGCATATATACCTTCGTGAATCGATTGAGAAATGATTTTGGGAGACCCTTGCGGCCCCCACCTTGTTGGAGGGGGTTTTGAGCGGCAAAAATGCGGAAAGAGGGGTGACGAGTAAATGAACGGCCTAGCTCCGGTATATAGACAGTACCACGATGATCCAAGACCGAGTTGAGGCCCTCTAGGATGGCTTGTGGTGCTAAATTCATTTCATCCAGCAAGACCCAGTGACCCTCTTGCAATGCTCGGAGAAATTCAGCGTCTTTCCACACGAACTGCCCGAATTCACCACCTTCAACAGGTAAATCAGAACCGAATAGATCAACGAGATCAGTTTGGTCGGACAGGTTAATGCGACAGAGCTCATATCCACAGAGATTCGCGAGAGCCGTGATTAGGCTCGTCTTACCGACGCCGGGACTGCCCTCGAGTAAAATTGGTTTCGGCAGCTGACATGCTCTGACGACTCGCATACCATTGTCATGAGTAGTAGGAGCATGAAGATTAAACAGATTTGGATGACATTCCTTGGGTCCGCGTGGGATCGAGAAACACCCTAAATGAACGTTGGTGCGTGGATTAAGTGCGGGGTCTTGACCTGCCGTATGTTCATAGACTGGGGCCAGTTCCTGCACTTTGGCTAAAGCATCCAACCGCAATGTCTCAATTGCCTCTTTTGAAAGAGCCGCGAATTGCGACATCGATCCTAATCCATCGAGAAATGACATATGAACTGCGTGATGCTATAGAACGGCTGAGCTTCAGTAAAGGTCAAAACAAAGCTTCACTCACAAATATCTCATTGGAAGACATCGTTCCATGGTAAGATTCATGGACCGCATTTGAAAAATGTACCCAAGCCTTGACGAATAACTTGTCAGTGGATCTCAAAGATACTCGAAATGAAGGAAGTTACCAAAATGTCGCGAACGCTCAATAAAGATCGGTCATTGGCTTGCACACATAACCACTCAACAAAATCGAGCAAGTTTGCGGTTTGTGCTTTGAGCTGATCGTTGGCCCACAGGCTATCAACAATACACTCCAGATCCCGACGGTTAGTGAGGGGAGGAACCCAAATTTCTGTAAACCTGTTCCTCAGAGCAGGGGATAGCTCTTTCTTGCCGTAATCACCGCCAGGATTCATTGTGGCGACGAGCTTGAATCCATCGGCGGCAGTGATAGAAGAGAGCTCGAGGTTGTCCCCACCTCGCTCGGCTAGAACAATTGTACGCTCGGGTTCGAGGGCGCTGTTCAGACGTTCGAGAACTGAATCATCCGCCAAAGAGATCTCATCGAGTAGGAAGATGTCCCCATCGCGCATTGATTCAACAAGCGGACCATCATACCACTGAAATAATGCTGATAGCTTCTGCAGGTTTGAACGTTTCTCTTTCAATGTGTCAAATTGTTGGCGGTCCAAAGAGCCTGATTTGATAAGATGATCCGCTGTCGAAACTACAGATTGCGAAGATTCTGGCTCGTGAACGACACCCATATTTTCCAGCGCTAAGGATAGCTGACGTAGCGCCTCAGATTCAGCAGTGGTCCGGTTGCGAACAGGCCTCAACCCGCCAATGAGGTCCGCAGTCTCCGTGTTCTGGTGACAGTTGACAGTGCGCAACGTCCTGGACACCACCTCTGCGTATACCTGGCATACGGAAGTTTTTCCGCATCCCGTCTCCCCAACAAGTAACACAGGTTCGTTGGATCGCAAGGCGCGAGCAAGGAGAATAAATAAACGTTGCATGGCGGAAGTCCAGACTAACTGCGTGTCTCTTGGAAGAGGGCAGCCTAGAAAACTATCGAAATCGACTTGAGCGCGATGCATACTATACATCTCCTTCTCGTCAATTCGAACTTTCATGATGGATTCGATGACCTCCTTCACAACGAGTTTGTCGTCCTCTCGACGTGTTCGTTCAGCCAGAAGCATATACCCGTTCTCCGCCAACTCTTGATAATTTAGTGCATCTCTCTGTGCCCATCTGAAGAGATCCCGAAGGGTTGCAAAACCATGTTTGCTCTCAAAGACTCGACTCGATTGTCGGCGCTTCTGCAATTCTTGAAACACGCTTACAATGCGCTGAGCGTAGGAGGGTGCGATTCGGCAACGCTGGCAAAGTATCGTTTCTAGTTCAGCCTGTGGAACATCCTGGAAATGGACTTCAAGGAAACGATTTCGGAACGCTCGTGACAAGATCTTTCTTCCCGCGTAAAGCCCAGGAGGATTCTGAGTAGCAAAGAGCATGAAATGAGGATGAGGTCGGACGACTTCTTGCGTCTCCGGAATAACAAGTTCTCTGTTGTCATCGAGAAGCCTATTCAATGCCTCGAGAACATCGGTAGGGGCAAGGTTGAGTTCGTCTAGTACGATCCAGTCACCGTTGCGCAAGGCCTGTACAAGGAGACCATCTCTGAAGACCAGTTTGCCGGTTACAGCGTCGGAAACATACGTTCCAAGATACTCTTGAATATCTGTATGCTCGTGGTTATTGATGCGAACAAAGCGGTGTCCTGTCCTCTTCGCTAGATATTCAATTGAGCTCGTCTTTCCGCTCGACGTGGGACCTTCAATCAACACAGGGAACCGTCTCGCTGAGATGATTCGAGCAAGGTCAATAAGTTTCGTTTCAACTGACGGGGTCATGATATAGTTTTCTGCTGGGTCCACCTCCAGAAGGCCGCGATGCAAGTGGAATGGACCAAACTTGACAAAGGCTTCCGGCGGTTGAGGCGGGGTAGGCTCCTTTGCCAACAGCGACCGAGGGTTGCGCACACCCGCGAGCAGATGTTTCTGAGCAAGGCCAGTGACGACCGCAGCGGACGGCTCATCAAGAGCCATTGTAAAAGTCATGAGACAGCCTTCCCATAACGCTCGCTTCAAAGAGTACATACTAGCCATGTCGGCAGTGAACGTCAGCGCGCGTGCCAAAGTGCGCATGCTGTAATGGGGTCTATGGTTGGATCCATCGGCAATCTTGCGCTGGTCTGCTAGTTTCTTCACTGCGGTATAGAAATCGGCCACGTCCATGATTGTGCCCTTGTCGCCTACAGCACATCCCCCAATATACTGAGTAATAATACTCAGTAGGGTTTCCTTGTCCGCATCTGGTGGAGGAACGTCAAATTCGGTAAAGCGAGATCGTATGTTAGGTGGTAGATCTTTCTTCCCGACATCTGTAGCCGGATTCATGCAAGCGAAGAGGCGAAAATCAGGATGGCGTGGAACCGGCTCCAACGATCCTTGTTCGGTGAGTGTGATTGATGCAGTCGGGCTGTGGAGAATAGCCGATATACATTCAAGGGTTTCTGGACTGGCCAAATTGACTTCGTCGAGCAAGATCCTAATCGAGTTCATTTATAAGTCCTGACAGCTCGGACGAACAACTTTGCTGGCTCACCAGTCGCCGGATCGTAACGCCTTGACCAATAAACCTTCCACAAACGCAAACGCGAACTTGTTGCTGTCTTGAACATGCTGCACCTCAAAAACTTGAACATCGCGCTCAAATACATCCCAGGTTGCTCCCGGAACATTGAGAGCATCCGGCTCAACCTTCCGCCTCTTCCGAGGCGCTTCGCCTTCCCTAAGAACAGTGCAGCATGATGGTTAGTCAAAAGAAAATAACAAAAGCCAACGCGAACAAACCCTTCATCCTTCGAACTTCTGGACTGAATCTTCTCTTTCGCTAGCTTAGCAGATTCTTTCCACAATCCAACGGCCCTCTTCCACTTCCCTTCCTGCACAGCCTTCCTCACCGACTCTTCAAATTTCGCGTTCTTCTTCCTACTGAAAGTACCGCCAAACAATTCCAAGAACCGTTCTTGAAGCTCCAGACCCGGCACACGAGCATCAACAGGCTTGAAACCGCCAATGAGATCAGACGACTCAGTCTGATTGGACAAGTTGAATGAAACTAATGGCCGGTTTAGAAGCGATGCCAGGTGGGTAACGACACTAGTCTTTCCTGTGCCAGTCTCCCCTGTGAGGAGCACAGGCTCGCCCAACGAGACTGCAGTAGCGATGCGCGATAATAGTCGGACAGCAGGTCTATGCATAGCGAATGGACGGATAATAGGAGGAGAGATCTGTGTGTTCAGCACACGAGAAGGAAGGCGGCTATCACCTGCTCGAACCGCAATAATTTTGCCATTCACATCCTTCTCCACATCGAACTCTGGAACGCGACTATACAGTAACCAATCTCTTCTCTCCGATGACAGACCAAGATGTTCAGCGACAACAGAGGCGATAGTTTCCAACTGCATGCGAGCGGACGTCGTAGTAGCCCCGGAACCAAAAAACACGTCCCGAGCTGCCAGGTACAAGTCTTCTCGTAATGTGGGATTTGGGAAAGTTGTTTGCAGAAGAAATGGCGCCTCGGGAGAGGCTACGATGTCCATTGCTTTGTGCGAAGCGGGAAGTATATGATCAGCGCGTGCGCATAACTTGTCCAGCTCGCGTAACCCAATATCTCGCATTGAGACGGTCACTCCGAGAGCTTTCAAAGCCTCCCACAAGTCGATCAGCCCTTGAGCGGCTGTCCCTACAAGCTTGGGAAATTTGGCTTCCACAATCATACGGAGGTCCTCCGAGGTGGGAGAAGGAATAACCATGTCGTAAAATTTGTGCGCTCCATAAAATGTCGGACTTGCGAATGACCCATCGCGAGATGGCGTGAGCGAGCGTGTAGCATAAATCGCAAATTTATCGTCAGCTTCCACGCGACCACGATTTGGTACTTCCAACACGGCTCGTCCACCGACGGCCTTGGCTGGGCCAAGCGACTCCACTAATGGTTTGAGGACGCCTAGGACTTCCATGCTCGCGCGATCAACATCTTCAAGAACTATCCACCTGCCTTCCCGCATGGCTCGCACCAGCACCCCTTCTCTCCATTCGAAGGTACCAGGGTGCACGGGAGACGATACATATGACCCAAGTAAAGTTCGGGCATCCAAGGATGTATCAGCGAGGTGTATTGTCACGATTGTACAGTGGGATTCCGGATGTAACACCAAAGCTAGGTGTGATAGCAATACAGATTTCCCACAAGACGGAGCCGATGTAATCAAGGTTGGGACCCGGAGTGAATGGTGTATGGCTAGCGTCCGGAGAGCTTGAACGGCAGTCGATGTTTCGATCAACGACTTATTTAAGATTGTGGTGACCGAGGAACGAAGCATGAGGATACCGTGCACGTTCGCGGTTAAAGGACTACAAATATGGGTGGGGCTTTTCAAATGCCGGAAATCTCAGCTGCTCACCTCAACTCTGCCGGATGAATAGGCTCATTTGAGTTATTTGAATCAGATAAAAAATAATCTTGAGGTTGTGATTGAGCATTTCTAGCATCAGAAATTCGGTCTAACTCCATAAGCGGTATCAGCCATCCATCGACCTGGTTTCGACTACCATCCATGTTGGCATCGTAGTCAATAGGACAATCCACTTCGGCAACATCTCCAATAACTTCCTTTTCCATCTTTACTCTCTCTCCCTCCATCATGCCTGATTGCAATGCATAGCAACGCACCGCCAGAAAGCGCACACCGTTATCCGCATAGGGTGCCCATACTAGCTGGGCCAGTGGGGTCAACGACCACAACAGCGATTCCGGTAACCTTCGGTTCGCCTGCAACACTCGATAGTAGGAGAGCAATATGCGTTGCAGCAATAAAGCATCAACTTTTGCCGCATCTGTTATTTGGGTCACGAAAGCCAGAGGACCATGTTTCAAAGCAGGCCGACGGACGAATGAAGCAAAGATACTGATAATATGTCGGTAAAGATATATCATCCAGAATGCTCAAATTAGCCACTTACGGATAGATCTCTGGGTGAATATCGAGCAGCAAGCAAAGTGCATAGAAGTTTTCCGTAAGATTCTCCTCGTCGAATAACCAGCGCGCGCATAGGTCAAGAAGAAGTGGCCGGAAGAGAACAGCGATTGTATTCGTAAGACCAGGCGTTGCAAGCAGATTTGATAGTATACACAAGAGTTCAGCGCGACTAGATGCAGTTCGTAGCGTTGTAGCATATTGAGAATCGTTCGGGAGGTATGAGAGCAGGATATTCGTTTGTCGACCAAGGTTGAGCGTAAGAGGATCTTGGATCTCAGCAGCAAAAGCCATTTTGAGTACAGGTAAAATCGGCCGATAATATACTTTTGTGGGCGAGTGGTAGAGATTCCACACGCGCAAAAGGCGAGGACAGAGAGAGCTGCCCCGGCTACCAAGTACAGAACTCGGGATAAAGCGCTCTCAGAAAATTCAGGTCTGTCATCGGCAACAGCCGAGGACACGCACACGTGATCCTGGGTTCCGATCACTTAGACTCGGAGATTGCCCAAAGGGGCCGCGGAGTGTGAGACCCGGAGATTGTTGCTCCTTGCGCTCGTCCCTCGATAGAAGTCACCGTGCCGGCGCGCAATCCCTCCTAATCTCAACATAACATTAGTAACCTTCCACCGTCTCTGAAGACTAACAATTCAAAACGCTTCAGTATGGTCCCCGTACCCGCTCCATGCCAGTGGGCCCTCGCAACGGCATCAAGTTTTCCATGTGAGACTGGGGTCGCTGGACGGGCGGAAGGAGCACGCCATCTGCCATCATCAATTCTTACGAGCTCTGTATACATAGACCTCACTGCGCGAATCACGCTTCTCATCCACTTAGGTGGATATCCTGACAGTGGCTCGGTCCTGGCTGTGCCTTATTAGGTTTTCGGCCGCTTACCGTTGACGCTGAAGCGGTTCGTGTATCTTCACCAGCACCACCTCCGACGCTGTAGCCCTCCGACTCTTGAAGGTCCAGAAAGAGAGCTTGGGCAGCTATGAGCGCAATACAGAATTCGTCCGACGACAAGATCTCCGACGAGAAGCCACAGACGGTCGACGTCGAGTCGCGTGTTGTGCACGGAGAGACGCAGGATGTTTATGACGAAAAAGAGTCTGGTGTCGATCCGATCTATCAGGCAAAGGCCAGGATCTTGAACGATGCTTTCCAAGAGATTGGCATGGGTAAATACCAAGTAAGTTGATTCGCCTCTTGTGCCTGTCAAGATGGAACGGCCGCTCAGCAATAGATACGTTGCCTGTAGTGGTACCTGTTTATAGTAGCAGGCTTTGGCTGGTTCTCGTACGTACAGTTTACCATGCCAATGATCTGCAACGACTGATGGGTGTCTGTAATCCAACTTAGCGATAATCTCTGGCCGGTGAGTCGAGCATTGATGTGACCATAAATCCCCTCTGTTGATTGGCGCATGCGCTGTAGATTGTCACAGGGCTTATCTTGTCTCCTGTCGTGAACGAGTTCAACTTTGAAGGTCCCTTCCTCAAGCTCGGTCAAAACATCGGCCTTCTCGTGGGCGCTGCGTTCTGGGGTGTTGCATCTGATGTTTGGGGGAGGCAGTGTGTCTTGATCCACCTCGTGAGCATATAGGTACCTGATTGCTTGTTCCTTTCATAGGATTTGCTTCAACCTCACACTGTTCATCACTGGAGTGTTCGCTATCGCAGCAGGGGGCTCGCCGAATGCCGTTGCACTCTGCTCTCTGGCAGCTGTCTGGAGCGTTGGAGTGGGTGGTAACCTACCCGTCGACTCTGCTGTCTTTCTAGGTAGGTAGAAGTCCATTCTGATGTTCGTTCTGTGGATCACGCGCTCGCCCAGAATTTATACCTGCGTCGCATCAATATCTTTTGACTATCCTCTCGATTTGGTGGGCCTTCGGGCAGCTGGTTGGAAGCTTGGTACGTAATCAGTATTCCAATGACATGTCGTCCTGTATATTGACCTTGTGCAGGTTGCTTGGCCACTGATCGCCAACTACTCGTGTGCTTCTGCGGCGGATTGCCCCAAGTCATCGAATGAGGGCTGGCGCTACTTCCTATACGCAATGGGCGGGCTGATGATGCTCATGTTCGTGTTGCGATTCTTCGTGTTCCACCTGTACGAGTCGCCCAAGTACCTCATGGGCCGCGGAAGAGATGCTGAGGCGGTAGAGGTCGTGCATGCGGTGGCGCGCTATAACGGGCGCGAATGCAACTTGACGGTAGAGATGTTGAAAGAGGCAGAGAATGCTGTGAAGTTTGAAAATACTGTGAAGTCAGACGGCTTGAGAAGTATTGAAGAAGCGGAACTGAAGATGGACACAAGTGCTCGTGCGGCGGTCATGAGGAAGATGAGAAGATTCAGCGGAGAACATGTCCAGTCGCTCTTTGCGACAAGGAAATTAGCCTACTCAACAAGCTTGCTTATTACTGTTTGGGGTATGTCGTCACCATGCGGGATGCCGCAATGAGACTGACTCTCACATGGTATAGCGTTAATTGGTTTGGCTTTTCCTTTGTAAGTGTTTCATGGCGGTCCTAGTCGTGTGTTGTTGATCGATCCTTTTTCAGGTACAACGGTTTTGTCACCTACTTGTGAGTTTACCTCAGTTTATGACTTTGTCTGCTTTGCATGATTTGGCTGATCTACTCCTCTAGCCTACAGACGCGAGGAGCTGATTTTGGTGACGGTTCAATATATATCACATACCGAAACGTCCGTTTTTCTCCATGCTTCTGAGGTGTTTGGCTCATTTCTCTCCTACAGCAAGTCATCTTGAGTGTCATCGGTGTTCCCGGTGCGCTCTTGGCTGGTTGGATGGTCGAGCTGCCATACCTTGGCCGTAAGGGTACGTTGGCAATCTCAACCGGTGCGTAATCCGATACGGTTTTTATACACCTGTGGCACTGATCATATTCCATCAGTTATCACCGGTGTCTTCCTCTTCGCTAGCACAACAGCGCGCACATCAAATGCGCTCCTCGGCTGGAACTGCGGTTATACCTTTACGAGCAACGTGATGTATGGTGTGCTGTACGCTGTTTCGCCGGAACTTTTCCCAACGAAGGATCGAGGGACGGGAAATGCTATTGTTGCCAGCGCGAACCGCGTATTCGGTATCATGGTGCGTTCCACGAGTACCTCTGATAGCGAAAATTTGGTTAAGCTCTCCCAAAAGGCACCCATCATTGCGCTGTATGCAAATCTCGCAACGGCAGTGCCGATCTATGTCTCTGGTGCATTGTTCCTCGTAGCTGGCCTCATATGTCTTCTTCTGCCGTTTGAGCCAAGAGGTAAAGCATCGATGTGAGGGACCAGTGTGCCTCCATTGATCGTATATAAAAACATTGTAATGCTACGAAACGTTAGCCCAGCTACGCAATGATTATGCTGAGTGTCCGAGATAAGTTGCTCACAAAATGTATCATTCCCCTTTATTGAGTGGCATTTCGGCTTCCTCAAAGCTTCCAGCTTCAGTCCAAAAATTCGCGTAAGTCACTCGTCGGTAACAGCTGAAAATGCGAACACGTGACGAAAGCTTCGCGTCGCGATCGTCGATCAAAGCGGCACATCCTCGGCACGATCGTCCTCAGGCTTCAAGTTCAAACTCCAACTTGAAAGACGGCCACATTGCGGCCACAATTCACGCTCGTACCACAGCCCGCCACCCTCTTGCCGCAATACAGCAAGCTACATAATAAGTCAGAATGGCAGAGTATGTCCTAATAACTTTGTGGGAATTGCAAAAATGTGCTTAGCGAGTGCTGTATAGCTCATCATTGGGTTTGGATAACATCGGAAATCTTGCACCGCGACATCAGCACAAAAAACGACATGTTCTACCGCGAAGGCAGTCGCATCATTGGAGTCTTATGTGATTGGGACCTCGCGAAAAGAGATATCGAGCAGGGAAATCTGGATGATAACGACGACGATATCTTGACTGGGATCTCCACTTCTCACTCGTCTATGGTTTCTGACACACCTCGAAGCCATGCTCCCATTCCCGAAGAAGAAAAAATGCGACAAAATGATGCTGGTGATGTCACGCCACAGGAGGACGGTAAGAAAGCCAGAGGTGTGGGTGGTCAGGACACAACGCAAGGACAGATCCGCCAGCCAACACGGTATCGGACTGGAACGGGACAGTTCATGGCACATGAGTTACTCGCCAGCGAAAGACCACCATATCATCGATACGCACATGATCTCGAATCATTCTTTTTTGTCCTCGTATATGTCTGCGTTGTATTCAATCCCACTGCTCACAAATTCGGACATCCCAAGGCTTGGGAGCATCCCGATCTGATGGTAATCGGAGAAAATAACCTTCGATTTCTTACACATTATGATACTTACGAAAAGACGATTGCAACAACCCATCCGGACTACAAGGGACTGGTTGATTCATGGGTTCGGCATTTTCGAGGTGGCATGTTCTTCGACGTTGGGCAACGTAATGTCAAAATCCGCTGGTTGCGTAACCAACGGCATCAACAAGTCCTGAATGCTTTGGACCTCAAAAGGCCCGTGAAGGTGGACTCGTTGACGACAGAGATCGCTGCGGTTTTACGGAGCAGACGCGAGCTGGTCACGTACGAAAAATTCATGGATTTACTGAATGAGACATCCGACTACGCTTGAAGCAAATGTCCCCGTTGTGGAGGCCTGCAGGTTCGAAGATTATACCACGAGAGAGCTTAAGGTGCGCTAGTTATAGATACCGTCTATTGATGTATGTATCATATATCCATGTTAAAATAATTATTCATTGAGGGTCAAATTCGTGATTGACGGATTCAATCTATCCCGAGTGAGCGACGAACTTGTGGCACGTGTAGCCGTTCGATATCTTGATAGCAAAAAAGCTTTGAGTTCCGGAGTCGAGCGAGGGGTGGCTAGCACTCAGGTGGTGGCTATTATCCAGGGCAAGTTTTGAAAACATAAATCAAATGATGTTGACATTAGAACATTACATATGTACAGAGGGCTATACAATGGTCTATCTAAGCTTGAAGTAGATTGAACCACAGTCAATAATGTTATCAGTCCTGGCATCCAGCCAGATTAAATGCGTGTCCTTGATACAGTCTATCTCGTGAAGAGTCCGGCGACACGGGAAATGATACATAAAGCAGGCATGTCGCGAGATCTCATCGTTAAGTGGACATCAGGATTACAATTGTGCTGCGTGTGTCGAAGGTTATAGTCGCCGCACTGTAAGGATGGCGACACGCCCGTCCTGTTCAATGTCGTGATTCACGTCTACGGTGAACATGGTGAGAGAGCGAGATAAGCGAAAGGATTGGGATTATGGGCAACGCACTTCGGTTCCCTTTCTCCAAGAGACCCTCGCGCCACTCCACGTCTGCCTGCCACCACATGCTGTTCCGGTAGCTCCCTGCTGTCGCTTGCTCGACCAGAAAGTCACGTCCGCGATTATACCCATCCCGAGAAATTTGATGATGCTTTGAAGAGTCCTAGTATCGCCAGGAAATCAATATTATTCCGCATACGTCCACGAGATACGCTCCCACCTTCTCCAACGATGCCCTAACCCCATCAATCTTACTGTCAGCGCCATTCAAACGCACATCAAACAAAAGACACACCCAATAAACCATGCCCCGCTATCCGCCTCGGTCCCGTTCTGCTTCCACGCACGAAAGTGATGTCCCCCACGCACGCTCTCCCAGCAAGTTCCCATGACGGGGAAGTAGTACTGGCGCGCGAGATACTGCTCTGGCTTGCGCCCGAGCCCGTCGCCGAGGTCCGCAGCGTGGATGTTACCGTAGTGCAGTCCGAGACACTCCTCCGAGTACCCGATAGACTTGGCGTAGGCGTGCAGCCCCGCCTCGGTGAGCACAAAGGGGTCAGATAGGCCGGAGATGATCACATTGAGCGGTTCGCCGAGGTGCCCGATAGTGAACTGTAGCGGGAAAAGCAATGAGGGGTAGCTTGGGAGAATGAGAAGAACAGGCGGACGCACGTCGAGGAGACGACCTCCACGCAAGCGAGGGTCAGCCCATCCAGGAGTGTTCTCTTCTGGCGGGAGCTCTCCATTCTCGTATTTGCGCGACGGCTGGGCTGTTATGGCCACCTGGCCTTGCTCGAATCTCGAACTAGCGACTGGAGAAGAGAGCACATGAAAAGCAGATAGGGAGAGCACGCTAAGCCAGAGCGTGCGGTGTAGCATGATGAGTGGTATCTCTATGAGAGCATATGCCTGGTTGTGGACGAACGCGTAGTTAATTGTCCTGCACTTGACCGGGGCAGGTGGAGAGGAGGAGCGGGAGGGGAAAAGCTGGAGGGGAAGAACGGGGAGAGGTGGGTATCTTGATTAGGCCGCCATGCCCCTTGGCTGAGGCGCTACGCATCATGGCCGCATCAAGCCATGTCAAACCCGCGACTGAGGCCTGCACAATATAAGTTTCCGGGTGGAGCGATTTTCCAGGAAAGCAGCACTCGGGGCACGCGCTGAATTGTCGCTGCAGTCCGCACAAGGCCAATCTTTGGCGGATCTTGTATTTGATTTGCCCAAACTTCGATCTCCCACACGGTGCACCCTCGGACGCCAGTCTAAACTTCCCAGCTACATTCATACTATTAGCAAGATCCCCCCAATGATGATGCTAGCGTCGATATGTAGCGAAGAAAGCGTCCCTTCACAGGCGAATAGTAGATGAGTGTCGAAAAAATGCATAAACGCAAGGCAAGGAGACGTGCAAGGACTACACTATAAGAATACCGCAAACAAGAACACACCAGATGGTCCTGTCACAACGCTACACCAGTGCCTGCTGGTTCGTCCCCGTGCGCTTCTCCACGCCCGTCATGAGATCCCGTCTCCCCGCCGGACGCCACGCGCGACTCATACACCTCGTCCAGATTCCGCAGTTGCAGTTCCTCCTCCTCCGCCTCTTGCACACTCCCCGGCAAGCTCGCCACGTACCCCGAACTCTCCCTCAAAGCCACCGGCGGCGACGGCATCGGCGACCCGTGAGTCCGTTCTGACGCCTCCGATCCACGTCGTGCGGGCAGCGGCGGTGGCGGCGTCTGCGCCAACGACGTCCGCCCCGGCCGTGGGGTGAACAGCGACCCAACCCATCCACTGAACCGGCTCGGTTGCACGGGCGGTGCCTGGGGTAACGGAGGTGGGGGCTGCGGGACTGGAATGGGATGCGACATCGCCATGCTCAGTGGCCGCAGCCCGCTCGCGCGTCGTTGGGAGGGAGGCACATCCGAGCTACTCCTCTCGATGGACCCCGTCCGCGTGTGCCCCCGGTCATTCGGGCTTCCACTCTGTCTGCGCATATCATCGCCGCTACTTGACGTGCTTGTGGAACCCTCGTTGGATGTCGTAGTGGCAGACATGGACGGCGCGCTCTGGATGTCGCTCGAGGAGCTAGGGTTGCGTGCCATCCACCGGCCCCGCATGCCCTCGACGGCTTTCAGCAGATTGCTCGAACCCGTGTTGAATGTTCGTGAGATGGCTTCCCTCGTTGGCGCTAGCTGCTGGTCAAGCTTGAGCTCCTGTATCCCCTCTGATAACCGTAGCCCGATATCTGCGACAACGGACGGTTTTGCACTGCAGGGATGCCTGGAAGGGAGCATCACATGAAAACACGTTTCACTCCACGCGCTTATGATAGCATGTTACATACCGAGCCTCGACTAGATCAAAAAGGAGAGGATCTGTGATTCGATCCCAGACCTCATATGCATTCGTCTTTTTGAACTCCTGGATCCAAAGCGCATTGAAGTCTTGAGTCGAGTTTGGATCACCTAATATCCAGTTTTAGATTAACGAAAGAGGGCTACCATGTGCAGCATACCTGATCCTTCGGTAATCATCACTCCACTTCCTTGAGCCTTGTGCACAAAAGCAGCATACTTGACTGAGGCCAGTGCTCCAGAGATATACTCATCAAACTACACAACTATAAGTAATCTGATCTCTAAGTGCTTATTAACTGGTACCCACCTTCTGTCGCAGATAGTCATCGCTGCCCTTGAAGCTGAGCGATATTAGCACGGTGATTTGATGTGGGAATCATAGAACCTACCGCATGCCAGCTTGCCTCGTTGGGTCATCCACAAATGTCTCGTTCACATCACGCACAATGTCATCCATCCACTTTCTGTCAGCAGCAGTCAATCCAGCCACGCGTTCCACCACGAGGTCGCGGAACTCAATCGTGCCAGTCTCAATCTGTCACCAATCGCGTTATACTCCGATGCACACCAACCTAGAAAGGTACGCACGTTCACAAGAATATCGACTTCCTTCTGTTGGGTAACAATTGAATTGGTACTTCCACACAGCCAGCTCTGGGTATCCTTCAACATATCAAGCTGTTGTAAGGGTAGATACGGCTGAAAAAATGCATCCTACATCACGAATAGCTTGGATTAGTGCGGAAGAATCATAGTTGGAAAGGCTATGAGCCGACCTTGCCAAATAGGTCTAGAGGTAACCCAGCATATGCCATCATGCTCTTATGGTCAGACGTCTTCAGCGATGTCGGTCGAGAAAGCGTCTGTGCACGTGCGGCCAGCGGCGGTGAACCACAATCCTCCAAGTTTTGAAGAAGACCTGGCGATGGAATTAAGTAATAATTGAAGTATAAGCACAGGTGTTACATACCAGGGATCAGCGTAACGAGTGAGTACTGATACGTACACAGCCGCTCCACCGGATGACCAAAGAACATTATCTTGATGACCCTCAGTACGCAATGAATAACCACGATGATGACGGGCTTACCTTCTTCTGTAGCATCAGCGCCTTAAGAAGAACCAGCGTCCGTTGCCGGAATGTGTGCACCAGCTCCCGTCTACTCGATCAGGTTCTGCTTGCAACTCAATTCAACTAACATACTCACAAGCTGGTCCCTACCAACGGGTATGAGCAAAGTATAATCGCAATACAGGGTCAAAACTAACCCATATAGAGTCCGCTTTCAGTCATTTGACCCCGCAAAGAATGTTCTAATGATATGTGGAAGTCGTCGAGGATGCTCATGTCGGTAAAGTCACGCTGCTCGAAAAGGACTCGCGTGATAACACCTAGTCGATCACTACACTTGCGCTATAGCCAGGCTCCTACATGGTTCTGAATTGGGGGAGACGCACCGTACAAGCCCAAATACCGGCTTCGATGCAAGCACAACTACTGCTTTCTGTACAGTTGATCGTGTTACATCCGCGTCTTTGACGAGTAGCTCAGATGTGCTAATCTGACGATTACACCTGTGCACGACATTAATATTGTCACGTGGTACTACTTGAGAAAGTCGTGTCCACTCACGATATCCCGAAGATAGTAGAAGGATGTGGTGAGGTCGAGGGCACGAGATGGAAGTAGGAGTAATCTTCCGATGACTATAAGCGCATATAAACGACTAATAACGACAAGAACAGAAATAACTGACGAGATGAGCACCGTCAGGTAGTGCAAGGAAGGGCAGAATCTTGGCAATCTCGTCATCGTCGAATATACTCCCTCTTGAAAACTCGATTTTAGGACCGACCTGGTGAAATCTATTAGCATCAGCAAAAAAAGTAGCTATTAAAACTTACATACCAAGTGATCGAAATCGACAAGCGCTAATCCCAACACGAGGGGGCCTTGTAAAGCCTGTGGCAATAGTGATTCTGGCCGTGCCTTCTTCGAAAACGACGTGCCCGCTGAAGCAAACGACATGATACTCTCCGTGTCGCTCTTGCCACGCATTCCTGCATAAGGAGCGGAGGATGATGGGGGAGATGCTATGAAGTGGGGCATGGAAGCAGTATCAGGCACCTTCTCAGCATCATAGACGGACGGCGCAACACTCGAAACAGGCGAGTCACTGTCGTCCAGCCTCCGTGTAAAGACGCTCCGGTCATCATCAAGTTCAGAACTAAAGTCTGTGTCGACGGTATTGCGCTTGCTGAAGGAGAGGCTTTGACGAACGAAGGTCACGGGGGTTATGGCAGACGGCGTAAGGTCGTCTTCGTCGGCGAGCGTGTGCGAGAGTGGAACTCGCGGCGACAGCGGCGGCGAAGACAGAGCGATGGATCGCTGGGAGGCCGTATCCCCGTCGGACGAGGCGAAGTCAGGATGGTAGTCTTCGGCAGGCTCAGGGTGGAGGAGGAAGTGCGAGTTCAGCGCGTGAGAAGAGGTCGATTCGTCGAATGGAGATGGCATAGCGGAAGGATCTGGATGGTCAAAGGGTTTTAGCTACATCTTTGGCCGGGGATAGAACTCCTGTTCTATCCCTAGGAGACCGCAGAACGGAACCAATGCAACGCACCTCAGCTTCGATGCCAAGTTCCACTGCGGTGAGCAAGATCTGTCAGAACAGTGATTGTCGATGGCTCCGAAGCACAGCAACGGGTCGTACGTCGCCGTCCGAACTCGAGCCTGACGCCGAAATGGAGAATACAGCGTCCTGGCTGCAGAGGGTATGGCGCTGTGCGTGGTAGTCGAGGTTGGTGACAGCCTGAAGCCTGAAGGGGTCGTCGAGGACTTTTGTGTCAGGCACGTGCCATCAAGTCCTGTCGGCGACAGCGATAACGCTCATCCGGCTCCCGAAACTTGAAAGAAAAGTGAGGATGCGCTACTCTATGGCCTAAGGCCCTGTTTGCTCGCGACCTGGCTTATGTCTGGATACTTATTATCGCCACTGCTAATGCTACTTGAAAACATGTTTCACATTTTCCTCCGCGGCTACACAGCCTCAATTTACCTGGTGCCAAGCAGCTCGTCGGACTTCTTCTGGGAGGCGCGCAGGATTGCATCTGTTATGGTAATCAACATCAGCATCTGCTTTTTTTCGGAATCTTACCGTTTACTAAGTAGCGAACTACTTTGCAGGTACCACCTTGGCACATGATCAAGTCTCTTCATATTGCCATCCATCACGACGGCAGTCTTTACTGAAATACCGACTCAATTTAGTCAAGCAATACCTTCTCTTTTCAATCTCAATACGAAGCTTCAAACAATGTTCTATGTGGCTTCATTCTACAAATATAAGTGTTCACGGGGAAATTATGATGCACCGCTCGATCTTCAACATTCACGCCATTGAAGATATTCAAGCAAGAACCCTGACTGGATTGCTCGATTGTACAACATAGACACCGAAATCGGTCAGCTACATCTCCTAGGTATGACTATCCGAACCATATACTTAGCGTCATACGTGCCTACGGAATCTGCAGCGACAGATTCGTCAGCAACTGCATCGCGTCTGCGCGGTATGTGTCCGCCGTAGTCGTGATCAATGGTGCCGGATCGACAAATGTCAAGAGCGGCGGGGAGGAAGGATTAGAACCCCACTGGTCCCATGTATAAAGGGAAAGCAGACTGAGAATCGCTCCTGGCAGACCGGGCGGCGTGTTAGGGTTCAGAGTGTTGGCAAAATTGACTGTTTGACAGGCATGTATGTCAGTTTATCCCACTTCTTGTATAGTTTCAAGGTTTCACTGACTAATTGCGTCGACTCCAATGTAATCGACAGAAGTGAAGTACTCAACCAAGTCGGAAGCGTGGAAAGTACCTAAGATGGGAGTCGCCTTGCCACGCTTGTACACTGTCCGTAAGGTCGTTCGTTATTGAACCTCGGTATAATGGTGAGATACTTACGATATCCCCAGGTGTCTTGGGTCTTAGATAATGTCTCAAGCATGTAGCGTCGAGGCGCTTGGAACATCCAGTCGCCTTGGAATGCTGCAATTCGCTTGAACTGAGGTCTACAGATGACATGGTCAAGAAGACACCGGTGAACAAGTTTTGGTTACTGACGTCAGGTCGTTGAGATCACCAGTGTCAAATGGAGACCCCTGCGCACGCATATGGTATCAGTCTGATTACAGTCTAAGCTAGCCACCTACGTCACTCGGATCGGAGGGATAAGCTTCTCCAACGAGCGAGATGTCCGCATCCGAAGCCCCGATGATATAGCTGCGGTAACTTAGAGAGGTGCAACACGTGAATAATCCAGCTTACTTTTCTTGTATGTAGGTTAGGAATTCGTCATCAGTTCTGCGGGATCAAATAGTTATGGGTGATCCATCATTCGAGCGACTGGAGGACGAGTATGCGTACGTGATATTCAAATTGCTCAATGAGAACAGAGTGCCCTCATCATCGCAATCTCCAGCAATGATAGGCACCTATCATGAAGTAATGTTAATGCTGAAGGTCCACTATTCATGGACATGACATTACTTTGGCATATATGCCCTGTTCTATGTACCGCTCTCCATTCTGAAGGATGATCGTGCCGTCAATCCGCGGCTCCCAGGCAAGGTTCAAGCTAGTATAGCTGAATATGGTGGGTGTGAGAGCGATGGCTGCTTGCAATGTCTCGTAGTCTGCATAGCGCAAACAATCCAATGTGTCAGATGAATTGGCGCAGCCAGTGTACTGTACGAGCTGATCATAGGATGGCTGCCCCTCAGAGACGTTATGGAGAGCGATTGGGAAGCCAGATTCCTTCCAAGGCGGTGAGATAGGAAAGGAAGCATTAGGGAGGCATCTTACCATAATTGCCCCTCGGAACAAGCCAGCGGGGTCGCCGTTGTTCCAAACGAGATGGGCAGCCACTGAAAAGGCGCCAGCACTCTCGCCCCATCTATTGTCGTTCGTCAAATTCAGGTCCTTGATGCCGATGTAATATAGATATTTCACGTACATGATAACTTTGCTTGGGTCGCCTCCGAAGGCTGAGATGTATTGGTTGACCCATTCCAAGGCAAGCCTCTCTGTTATAGGAAGTGAACGAATACGTGAGTACAAATTTATAGCCATCTTGAGCATTGACTGACGATCTCGCAAGCCGACATTAGTGAGTCCAGCTTCTTCGACTTCTTGACCAGCCAGGAAGCCGAAAGCTAAATGTTACTATGTCAGAGCGTGAAACTTCATTAACTATTGACTCGCACCATTCATGCGGTAATTGTGGGAGACAAATATGACTGGTTCACCCAAGTCGATGGAGCGCTCAACATAAAGACTCCCATCGTAGATCGATGCGGAGCCGAGCTCAAACCCTCCTACCATGAAAGTGAGCGAGAGTTGAGTACGATAGGATGAGAGCCTATCATACCTCCGTAGATCCACTGTCCGATACTAGCATCAGCATCAACTTCGTGTGATCGATTAGGCGGCTCACAAAGATGACCGGGAGGTTGTCCTCCGAAGTCGCGTCCGCGGGCGCCCAGACATTAGCATACAGACCTGATCCGCTGGAAGGTAAAATCGGGGTATTCTCTCGGAGAGATGATACTTACAGTCTTCAGAGATAAGGTCCAGTACCGGAATTGAGAAATTACTCGGCAGCTCCTCTGGCAGGACAATTTCCTGTTGGGGGCAAGCGGGCCCAAAGCTAGTCGCTTGCTGAATCCCTTCGAGGGGCTCTGGGGGCTGCGGCAAACCAAAACGCAGAGATCCTATCCTGTGCAATCCAAGAAACGAGTGATCAGCTTCTAATACAATTTACAAATTGAGAGGGACTCACGGTGGTTGCGCGAACGGAATACCGAGGAATTGCGCGACATTGCCCGACGTTGATCCCTGGAACGCACCGTACGAGATGTTGACAATAGGGTCAGTAGCAGTGTCTCGTACACCCAGCGGAATACTGAGCACCGGCACCGCAAGAAAGGCAGAGGCTACACCGATCAGCGACGGACACACCATTCTCACCAAGGTGCCACGGTCTCGGTGATTGGAGACACACTCCACCATGTGCTGGGGGATGGCTACATATACCTTCAGTAACTGCGCCCAGTGGCATCTTCATGGGAATACGAACCTCTGCGCCCATGAGGTACAATAGAATACGAGAAGTCGGGAAATGGAGCTCGAACCACTAGGGCAATGCACGAGCATCAAGTCGACTAAAGCAAGCGTCATAGAAGAAACTCATCCCAGGGCATTGCAGCCGACAGTATGGCGTTTTGCCAATATTCTGCACTTAACTTATAACATATGGATTAAACGCTCAGGCTATCTCAGCAATGAATCGCCACAACTCGCATATTCGGTATCCTCCCGAAAATCATGGCGAGCCTGACAATGTGGATGCTATCTATGTCTGATTGGATGCGGCGTGTTTGATATCAGACATGGGGGGGGCCGAACATAAAAATACTTACAATCGTACCATCATAAGCATGTTTTCTAATGGCTCAGTGTCATTACGGAGGTCTTTCCCGTGCCATATTGCCGGTATCACAGACGATCTGAACGGTGATCATGAGATGCTGGCTTGCGTCATGGGTGCTCCCTGGACCTTGCCAAATCTCCGCGTGTAGATCAGTTGTCCATTTATACTGTGGGGCGTGGGAGTGGAATAAAGCGACTGAAAATTCTTGATTTATAAATGTGTTTATACGAGCAGCGGACTATAGTACTCACGGACCAGAAGAACGCATCTCACATCAGGGACGAGGACAGGTTCAAGCTCAAGCTCAAGCTCAGGCTTCAGACTTTTGGCATTGTTTCCAATGTTGGTGCAGTGACCTCAATAAAGGGAGTCAGCAAGTACGAGTCATCGCCGGCCCATCCAATTTTCACATGTTGAGAACCCGTCTCATTAGACCGCACAGATCCCACAATTCTTCCTCCGCCAATCATGGACTCAGACTCGGAGTCATGGTGATTTTGCCCCAAATGTGCAGTGGACCACCTCAGGCCTTCCGACCTAAGATACACAAATGTGTCAGTAGACCGCACGCACTTCACTACACCTCCAGTTACTAATACGTTCAAGGGGATCCAATGACATATTAATGAACGGAGACATTGGTTCTGCGCGGTAATTTCTCGTCCATGATCAAGTTGATCAATGGTGGAGAATTTATGAACATGAAGGCTATCAGTGTGCCGTCGCTGTCGAGGTATAATGGTCAAGAGAAGTTGAACAGATAGCTGACACCTGGCGATAAAAGCACGCCCTCGTTAGGATCAAGATTAGTTGCTTGACTAAACAAGCAGAGGCAGAATCAGAATTTACCATTGAGGATCAGATATCACAGAGAGTCAACTTAAATGAACTTTGGGGCCAATATAATCGTGAAAAGTGAAGAAATCCTCAAGATCAGCTCGGTGGTGGATGCCCAAGTAGGGTAACAAGCCGTCCTAAGGAGTACTGGAAGTACTATACTGCGGAGCAGTACTACATTAGTAACATGTAGCTTATGCTGAAATTATGACGGAAACGCCATGCCGCTTGTATCTTTGACATAGTTTCCAGCATATATCGACAAAGAACCCAAAAATACCAGTCGCCTTGAGATGATGCTAGTCGAGTTTTGTACTACTTGTTCCGAAGCTAAGATTCCGGGCACAGCAGCAAAGCGAGTCGCAAGGAGTCAACATCACGAGCTAAGTCTCATCGGGTTGAAGAGCTTGAACTGATAGACTTTAGGGGACATCTTGTTCGTTTGACCAAGTGGTTTTGTGCAGATAGAAGGAAACCGGCAAGACCTCAGCTGAGTAGTACTAGAACAAACGACTGTTGAGCATAAACTATATACTATATGGCAGTGGCTAATGTGTTTTGGCGCTTAGACACTCGGACAGCCCGAGTCCGACGCGCCCGCCGCCGCCATTATGCAATATTTATATGCACTTCCCGGGGCCACAGTCAAACGCCTCATGACCAGCAATTCAGCATAAGGTAAATCGGTTGAAGTCAATTAATGTACAGTCACTATATTGATTACTGGTTATACAGTTAGACTTAGAACGCAATTCTTTGACATCAAATGATAATAACGGCACTTTCTTTGCAGACAGGATCTATGTATGTGATACAGGCTCGAAATCTACGGATACATCCAGAAAATCGGAGACGTGGGGATTGGCAGATGAAGAGCGATATCAGTGATATGGAATAATGTCCATGAGCGGAACGGTTACAGAGCGAGAAGAAGTGAGATAGGTAAGAAGCGGACAAATGAGCGTGCACGATGATGTAAGTCGAGTTACAATCTAGCCTCCAGTTACAGTGCGTTGTAGGATATGGATTGAAAGAGCTTCTCATCGCAATGGGGATTCCTAAGAGTGACTCAGACGATGTCGACAGAGTGGCGCACAGAGGCAGGCACATCAGGGAGAGGCCGATCCATTGATATTCGATGGTTACGGTCGACAAGCTCCTGTTCCTGTGAGGGTAATTCTGGGAGCGGCGAATCACATCTTTCGAGTATTTGTGCGGTTTTCTCATCAATGTGTGAGACGTAGGTATTCAATCCAGTAGAGTATGTTGAGGGAGGATATGTTGCTCTAAAATTGGCATTGGTTTCATAAGCACTGATAGAAATGGACAGAGAACTCCGCGCTATCGAAGCGGCGTCCGCGTTGGGATTGGGATGTTGCAAGAAATCCGGAATTGTGACAGCAGCACCGGAGGCACCACCGGACATCCTCGAACTACGATGATTCACGTGAGAGTGGGTTCAGCAGAATGACATAAAGATGCACGGACGGAATAGAAGACTTCGACAGGACGCGCTCCAGCAAGTCCGTCGGAATGCCAAGCTGTCTTGCAATTACCTTGAATGCCTTATGGTAATGGCTACGCGCTTCTTGAGCGAATCCGAAGAACGCAAAGAACACCAGCGCGCAGCCAATGAATGTCCAACTATCAAATGCCAACGACCTCACGGCTGCGGGGTCCTCCGTCAAGAGACTAATGGCTGGGATCTGGCCCACTGAGGAGAAATCGTAGTGCAGGTTGGCCAAAGATCCGTCCCAATCGTAGACGGGTTCTTGCACAGTGACTATAAGGGTGTATGTTGCGAGGGGCACTGTAGAGCACAATTCCACCGCGGCGAGGGCCATAAGACGGAAGTACCGGCTGAAGTTTCCACTTGCAGAGATGACCTCATTGAGTTTCTTGCGCTGTTTCAGGAAAGCGCGTATCGTCAGAGCTATATATGGATCGGAAGTCAGACATTCCAAATTGCCATAACCCACAAGTAATCTCACTGCAGTAGACAGCCGACACCAAACCGATGACAATAGGCCAGATGTCGAATAGGAACCAAGAGATGTTGGTGTTTGGGATGACGAACATACAGCCGAACCCTTCAATGATGTCGAACCGATGGCCCTGAATAAAATAGTCTGTAGAGGGATCAGATAAATGACGCATGATACGATCGTTCGTACATACACAATATGACTTGGAGGATCGGAAGCCCCAAACCGATGAATAAGTCGATCAAAATCATACGACGTTTTTCCTCGGGTGTCGAATATATCTGTACGATGATCGCAATATAATACAATCGTCTGTTGATTATGAGAGACGCAGTGATGACACCGATACTCGCAGCCAACATCCACCTCGATGCTGTTTCACGCATCAACAGACAGCTCGAACTCCGAAATTGACCTGTGCTCACTGATGTCACACCAAACCGGCGCCCAGTTAATCACGTTGTCCCTCCAGATTGTAGTGTTTATGAATTGGAACAGACATTGGGTACCAGACCAGAAGATGAACAACACGCATCCGACGTTCCACGCTGGAAATATCAAAAGTCAGGACACAGTTAGCACAGGCATATATCAAGACACACACCTTCTAGATGCCAGTACAATGGAATGTTGACCAGAACAAACCCGATGAGCGAGAAGGCGTTGACCAGGCTTTGCGCAGTGTAAAACGACTCCAGGGCGTCCATTGCGAGTAGGTGAGGATAATATAAATGAGTGTGGGTCTGGCAGCACTAGGCTTGCAAAGAAGCCCGGAATCAGATCTCGGTAGTGAAGGTGGTGGAACACGAGTGGAAGAACCAACTCTTGCGACAGGGCAGATGCAGTAAATATATGAGCTGTCATAAATTTCAGCCACGAAAACGGAATTTGTTGTATTCCGCCTGCCGCCATCTTCTTGCCAATTTCCTCCCAGCGGCGTGGGCGAAGTACAAGGGACTGGCATCGCCAAAAACGGGACATGCCTTTGAGCTTCCGTTTTAGGCAATTCACCACACCGTCATTCGAAGCGCAAGGAATCGGAAAACATACTGCTTAGTGCCGAAATAGCGCTTGCGTTGTTGTAGTTACGTTGTGTGCATCGCGATGGCTATACACATTTGAAACCGTCTCTCAACACTGCAAGAGCCTAGGGTTGAGGATGATGTTGATGTCAACGCAAAACGCATTCGTCAATTCAGACAAGTTCATACGATTCGGAGTCGGGACATACCCCATATACTGAGGCAATACGCGGCTGAGGCAGACAAGTCAGTGATCCGCCAAGCCTCGCTCAATCTCTGTTGTACTGTAATAAGCCCAAGATAGTTCCGTCGGTGTGTGATTGAGGCGGCATTTGTGCAAACCGTTAAGGCGCGTCATAGTTGATAACATCATTATGCAATCCGAAAATGAAACTTTCGAGCCACTCCAACTAAAGACAGTTTGTGCCAGAACGTGTAGCAAATTGAGGACCAACTTGACTGCAATCCAGTGGCAAGGACCAAGGTTCGACGCGCCCACTTAGACGCTCGGGTCCTTTTTTCAATCCACATGCCGATGTGAGGTGCGCAATTTGACTGTCGAACGGTAATGATGTACAGATTCGTTTAGAAACTACTGAGTAATTGTACATAAATGCAGACAGATACATGACACAACGAACAGATCTGAGCCGTTGGACGCAAGTGTTATACACATTTGTAGAAACTAGACCGACGACGTCACCCGATCTCACGCATAGCACAGCACGCGGTATTGCTGCGTCGATGAGATTAACCAACGACCGACACAGACTACTGAAGAGACCTACATGGGATCTTTCCTCAGTGTTGTTGACCGGGACAAGACAGCCTATACCGTGACCTCAGAATGCAATGATATCCAAAGCATGAACTTGAAGGCATACCGTCAATACTCGGTCCGGCCTTTCCAGGGATAATTGCATGGCCATGGTGGACCCTAGCGACGTAGAGCGGGCTATCGTCGGCTTCGTTCCCACCCTCGACGGGCTGGGCGCCGAGCATGGACTCGTCAAGGCGTCCAGCTGCATCCACCCAGCGCACCGCTCGGCGGTCACCAACAAGCACCTCGTACTTCGGAAGCTATTTACAGAACGCTTTATAAGTCTCGATCACTAGAATATTGTGAGACTTACTTGAATTTCATGATGTCCATAACCGATGACTGCACCCTGTTCAAACGCAGGCGATACTTTTCCTATCTCTGTAGAGACCTCAGTATGTAGCTCAGGCGGACAATCATCCAACGAAACGTACGGATACCGCCCTAGTGTAAATCCGATTACTTAGACTCATACCAGTAAAAGCTCAGACCGTACCTCATAAAATCCACGACAAATGAACAAAGGTTTCTCGTGCTGCTCGCCTCCTGGGATCGCATTATCCGGGATTCGACCGCCTTCAGCCAGGATCCAAGTAACAGGACCGCGAGGACCGTTGTCGTAAAAGTCTCTCGTACGCCTCTCAGCGTCATGAAGCCAGTTTTGTAGTGCCCATACTTGTGCCTTTTTCTGTGGAAGAGTCAATGTACTGAAAGATAACCTGAGATTTGACATTACGCGTACCTCTTCTTCGCTCTTGTGATGAGATTTATAAGCGTAGTAGCCTCCTCCAAGTAGTGCCAGACCAGCAACTAGGCCGCCACCGACCTACTTAAATCATTCACATAAAATCAAAGAAAAGGAAGAGATAGACTCACCTCTAATTGTTTCTTGCGTCTGGGATCAAGGTTATGCCAGCTCTTCTGGCGTTCCTCGTGATGGATATCCACCTGTTGTTCTTGATGCTCATCCCAGCGCTTCTCTCCAATACCACCTCGGTTGCCATCATAGCCACTGTCGCCTCCGTAACCTGGCAGTAACGTCATGTCAATTATTGACACAGACACGTATGCCTCAACTGACCTTGGACTTGCGGGGGAGGTCCCGGTGGAGCCTGAGCTTGGGGAATCTGCCCTGGTTGAATATATGTCGGATTGTACCCCTCTGCAAATGCTGATCCAGCAACACCCGCGCCGGCACCTACTGCAGCACCGATGCCTCGAGCATTTGGATCATCGCGGTATGGAGGCTGAGAGGGCGGTTGATATCCACCACCCCGAGCGTACCCGCCAGGACCTCCGTATCCCTGTTGGGCTTGGAATCCATATTCTTCCTGCATGCGGCCCCAAAGCGCGGGCGTTGCGGGAGGCTCCCAACCCGGCTATCAAAGACATCAGTCACGACCAACGGGGCAATGGGCCTATGAAATGTTGGACCGACCTCAGATCGATGCGCCTGGATGATTTTATACAGAACACCTACGGTGATACAAGATGAGGACCACCCAACCGATATCGATCGCGACAACGCACCTTGGTGCACTACTACAGACCCTATATCATACCATGTTCCGGGCTCCCATTCGGGGGCTTGAGCCATGATGAATATCGCAGTAACTGGGCAGACAATGAACTAAACTAGTAGATCAAGAGGAGAGGAGAGGCGTTGGTGTCGGTCGGAGGGATCTTGATTCTGCTCAAGTGCACCTAAGATGCGTGGTTATATATGTAGCCGCATTCGCCTGCTGCGTGCATATGATGCGTTGCACCATAATCACTGCCCCGCACGTGCAATGGAACTGCCCCAGGCCAAGGATTATTAGAAACACGATGTTTGCCATAAGCGTATCGCTTTCAATCAGCGCGAAGGGTGGTGTCTCGTTCTGGAGCTTATGATCATGATGAAAAGCACCGAACTCAGCCGCATCTGCCATACCCGCACAGCTAATGGAGCGAACTCGAGAACTAAAGGTTTACGCCAAGAGCTGCGAGCGAAAGCAGTGCTGGTAAATGTCAACATGGCTAAATGGCAATCCATTTTCGAGTTATGGTCACTAGCACTTGATTCGAAATGGATCACATGGGCGCGTCAGAAGAGCTAAACACGACATAATTCGATTCGAGCGCGCATCCGGCGGCAGACGGCTTCAAGCTCGTGCCAGCCTCCTCTCCCGTCTACTTATATGCATCTTACCGTCATCCCAGCTGTTGACCAATTGGTAATAAACTATCATCTACTCTGCATCGCATATACATCACTACTCTATACTATGGCTTCTAATAACTCCTCAGGTCTCAAGCGCTTGTTCGGCGGGACATCTACTCGTCTTCGGGAAGTCGATAGAGTTCTCGCTGGTATCCGCCGCCATTTCAAGTCGGCGACCTCCAGCCACGCACCCGATTCTTCTAATCGTCGTGGCTCCAAACGACAAACGGGAGATATTCAGCTCGACAGGCAACTGGCTTTTGGCGAAGTGGTTTGGAACATTCGAACGTCGACCAGAGCTGTTGTCAATCTCGCTGACAAGAGGAAGTCGGCTCCGTACTTAATACCGGACGTCAAGCTTTCGTTCGAAGACGTGCATCGGGCATACCGCAGAAAGGTCGACCCTACCGGCGGTCTGTTCGAGACAATTGTCGGCGTACCTCCGAACGAGATCAAACAACCTGCCCTTGTCGCTCCTCTGTCTCGCAAGGAGCGCCTTGGCCGGCTCGTGGACAAAGTGACTCTGCGCAAATGTCGTGACCGTCATGTCAATATTCCCAGCGTCTTGCTCGGGTCGTCGCCGGTACCGAAGGCGACTTCACTCAAGTCCAGTTCTGTCGCGTCCTGTTACCTCAAAATTCTTTCTTCTGCTAAGGCTAAGGCTAAGCCGTCTCCAACTGCTCCGTACAGTCTCAGGTGGAGGTCAAACAGGCGTCATGTCCAATCCCGTGATCAGCCCCTTCCCCCGAAGGAGATGCAGAAAGCCGCCGCTGTCCTCACTGACGACATATTTGATTCTGTCGAGGCTGCACGCGGTGTAGTTGCAGGGGAAGAAGTGCAGTTCCAGGCACCTGTTGTCAAATATAGGCGCAAGTACCGCAGTCCTGAGACACCAACTCCGCTGGGAGTAGGCTACTTCGTGAGCGAGCTGGATCTAGGACGTATATATTGGTCCCGTTAAGGAGGCTTCACGATTGCATGCCACAATATGGTGCGGATCAAGCGTTTGGCAGGAACGCTGATGAGACACCCTCACATCACATCGCTCGATATTCTTCATGTACTCCGCGTTCACTTTTTTTAATGCTCAATGTAAACATCGCATAGTGTAGCCAAAAATTAATTAATTTTTGAGAGCTGGCTCATCCATAGTACCTTTGAATTTCAGAGTCACACCGCCCAGATTATCTTTTATTTTGTTTTTACACCACCCAGGTTCAACGTTCAGGTCTGAGTTCTGTTCAACGTGTGGCCAATGCCCTCCTGTACGCTCTCACCGCAATGCGCAAATCCGCATTCGAAGTATTCTGTTGGAGGATCAACATGGACCCCTCCGATGTGCACCCCGATTCAAAGGATTACCAGTTCTTTGGGCGTAATTACGACGCCGGTAGAACGGCGGAAAAATTGATTGCGGCGTGGAAAGACTGCCCGCCTGCGTATCCTCCCCCGGCGTTCTTAGCGGACGCACCCGGCGGCAACCATGTCCTCGTGTGGCATAGTGACCTGGTGAGTGGGAGTAATACCCAATCCGATTCCTTCCTCAGCTCGAATTCGGGCGGGGGAGACGTAACGGGATGATTGCCGCCCCGACGAGAGGTATTGTATTTACACCGTATGGTATGGAGTATAAACCCGGAGTTAAACAAATTTTAAAAAAGAGTTCTGTTCAACGCGGGTGTCACATTTCACGTGATGCGAGAGACAGTGTCACGCAGTTACCACAAGCGCTTATGGTAATCGCGTTTAAGCTCCGAGTCGGCAGTGTTCGCTGTACCCACAGATCGATTTCACTTGACTTCATGATCTCGGCTTTTGACTGCGGTATCTAGCCATGGAGAGCCCAGAACTTGTTGACACCTCTGACTGTGACGAAGCAGAGGCAATACTTGCTGCAAAACCTGACTACTGGACACACGCCACTGCTTCAGATTTGTCTCGCGACTTTGCAACTTCTGATTCTCAAAGGAATGTTGGGGTAGCCAGCCGTCACGAGGATCGCTCTATATACAGCTCACTATTTTTTACACGTCGCGAACATGCGGAACGACCGCCATCGAAGCGCCCCAAGGTGATCATATCATTTACGTTGCGTCTATAGTCGATTCGCTGATCAGTGCACACTGTAGCTCTGTCATTTTTCAGATTCTCTTCCAACGACTCCTACTCGCAATAGGCTTGGGCACCACTTCACAGTTGGCTTTAGCTCAGTACCGTGTACACCTGTACGGCCTCGTACATTACATTCACCCGAGCTTACAACAATCAGGTCGCCATTGCTTCAATCTACCTCTCTATTTCTCGAAGGGGAGAGTCTTGATGGTTTTCCTCTTGGAGATGACCTTTCGTTGCCCGACGGTGGGGAATGGGAACACGCCCGATTTCTTCCCCCAAGCATTGACAATGGGAGGTTCATTCCTCACCCTCAAACCAATCACGATGAACACTCTCCTCAATCACCCTCTCCTAATGCCTCCACTCTGCTTACTCCAAAGAAGGTGACTCAAGCAGGTGACCCGTTGCCCAGCACTTCAACTGGATCTCCTGTAGTCGCATATACATCCGACGCCCAACCAACATCTCCCCTCACTCCCATATCATCGCCGAGGAATCATAGGCTATGGCCCGGAGAGACTGCAATGCCCGAGTCCACACATTCCCCACCTCCAATGCAGCCATCGTCACACCGTGCCATTGATTCTGTTGTCTTCCTTGCGCAGGAAGCAGAACAAAGTTCTGGACGATACTCACTCCGGACGCGACAGGCCAGGCAGAGAAATCCGTACGCTTACGATAAGGCATTATATAAACGTCAGATGCGCGCTAATCCAGAGGCCATAGTTAAGGTCGTTAGTCCATCACGATCACGTCCTCAGAAAGAGCGTCGGTCGAAGAGTAGAGGAAATGACTCGTCCACTGAGGAATCTGGAGACGAATATGTGATGGCTGAGGGCGAGGAAGGCGAGGAGACAGCAGGGGTGAAGAACGTCACAAGGGGAGACCGGCGGCAGGATAGTCTGGCTGAATCAGGGAGGACGACTGGCCAGCCCAATCAGCCGCATGGTCATAGTAGTAAAGAAAGGCAAGGTAACACGAAGGAGAAATTTGTGCAGTCTCCCCGAGGCGAAATATGGTACCCAGGAGCATTTGAAGAATTCTTCAGCAGTAGCAGCAGCGTTGAAGGTAAATCTCCCCAAAGAGCGACGAACAAAGGCGCCAGGACTAAGATCAGAGCCCCATTAAAGCCGAAACCATTTCCAATGAAGAAACGGGACTTCGCTCATAAACATTCCTCTGGAAGAATCGAGTCCGAATTAGTTCAGTCGTTTTCGTCCAGACTTGGGCTTCATCGCGATTCTGAATACCTGTCAATGTGTTCTAGGGATCCCCGAAGCGCGTACAACCTATTACGGATGTCAGCATGGGCGAAGGCTCGAATTCCGACATCGATTTACCTCGCTGGCGGCGACATAGGAGCTCTACCCCTTCCGTTCCTGAGCGCGTCTCCCTGAACTTTCCCGTTTACGATGGAAGCGCGAACGTGAACGACTCGGATCTCGTACTCGATTCCGGAACTCCCGGGCCTCTCCCTCCCTCCTCCACACCTGATATGGAAGAGCAAAACCTTACCATGTCAGGTGAAGAGCACAGAGCGAATGTCTCTGATATTGAGGACGATGCAGTTCGGCACAAGCGAACTGATGCCGAAGTCATAGACATTTCTGATGACCTATCCGGCTCGGAGTCTAGCTCCTCTGTGGAGGGACTGTCTGCCAAAGACCGTCGGCGGATGAAAGTGCTGCAGAAAATGATGCCTCGTGTCCTGATCCAGCGACACCTTCGCGATGCTGTTGCCCCGCGGCCAACACGTCCAATCGATCGCGCAGGTAGCCTTTCTGACAACGAAGACCACCCACTACGTCCTGGTCAATCTAGGGTGCGTATAAGGCATTTATCTCAAAAAGACAGCGTTGAAATCCGAGGAGATACCGAGAGCTCGGATTCTGAGAGATCGGACAATGTATCAATGAGCTCCTCGGAGTCGGATATGGACGTGGTAGTCGTTCCACATCCGCGCAGCGCAGCCAAGGTCGCTTTGGATCGGACTGGCTCGCAGACTGAGCATGCTCTCATCGACGTCATCGACGAGACTGAAATTGGGCAGTGGGTTTCGGACAAAGGTCATTACGTGCGCCATGCTGGTGATGATTCTCAGGCAAGAGAAGGCGATTTGATCGATCGAATGCTTTCCCGTACAAGAGTTGCTGGTTCCAAGTTGCGTCGCAAGCGCAGACGAAAGGCTAAAAGTTCGCGCCACCCTTCTGGACGAAATTTGCATATCATCACCGTCGGAGCACGAAAGGTGGGTGTTGGTCGGCAGACTCTTATTCCATTCCCGCGAGCTTCAGGTGAACATGATGAGTTAAGTGATGGTTCCGCAGGCAAGCTAATCAGAACTCGTTAAGTATCATTATACTAATTTAAAAGCACAGCGTCCAATAAACGTCATGTTCAGGTCAGCTCTGTACCCTCCAAGGCAACCGCTCAGGAACGCAAACGCAAGAAACATTGCAATCAAGGTGGTTTATTCACTTTTGCTTCTGGTGGTGAACGTCTCCTCTCAGGCCGAACGCACCACCGTCCTATTACCATTGACGCTGAAGAGCATGTCCGAAGTTCGTTGCCACATAATTTGTTGATGAGTAAGACTTCTCTTCCTCACCCACGAGCAAGGACAGGGCACAAGGCCGGGAGTAGCAAGGCCTACGTAAATAGTACATTGGATAACTACTGGTCTGCAGAAGAGGATATTAAGCAAGCACCGCGTGCGGCGTCATCCGACACTTTGCGCGAGCAGGCCCATCAAGACGATCTTGATTTACACCGTGTGACACTTGACTTCGATGTACCGGTGCTTCCTTCTGGAATCCCCTTCGGTCCCGATACATACCTCGGCAAAGGCCATCTACATGACCTTATTACCTTTCTTTCCGATGCTCACGATATATCAAGACCTACTTCATGCTCCCTGCTTGGCGTGCGGCTTCACTCCGAGATGTCAACTCAAGACTTCGCAGCATGCCTGGAACAAGTCTCCGATCGAGCACAAGATCTTATCACTCGAAGAGCACCTATCGAAGGCGAACAAGTTCGACAATGGCGAATCTTACTTCATTCACTCAACAGTCATATGGTTTGGTTGTTTCGCGCAGCCGAAGACGATGACTATGTAGCATTATCATCCGCTATGGATAGACAAGTCGGCCGACTCAGGGCTGTAGTTGAAGAGCCGACGGAAGTTATTCCTGAAGATGAGGTCCCCTATCTCCTGGTCTACGAAATCCATTGGTTTACGCTCGAGGCAGCATTTCGTATGTTCGTCTGTCACAGGCGCCGGCATGGACAGCTATGCGACGTGTCGTTGCTGCGTCAACGCTTGCGTGTCCTGATACGACAACTCTGGGATTTCGGTTTTCGCAATCTTCTGGATCCGTTCAATGGTGCAGATGAAAATGCTCTACCGGATGAATCGATGTCTCGCCGCGTTTCAGAATTATGGGTTTGCATAATTCATCTCATCAACGCGGGCGCGACAACCTTACAAGATAGTCTGGATCAGCCATCGGAAATCATTTCTTTTTGGAGAACATACACCGATTTTGTTCGCGAAGCAATTGCTCCGCGAAGGGATATTTCTGAGCTCGTCATTAGCGAGTCTGTCTGGAGGAGTATCTTTACGTTGTGCTCTTTATCACAGTTCTCTGTTCAAGGAATTACCACATCGTTGCCTCGGCTGGGAGCTTCTTGGGAACTCGTCATGATAGCCTTAGACCGGATTCGTCTGGGGGTGGACTTGGTGGTAGACGCAAAGCTATCAAAACGCAGTTTGCAAAAGAGGGACGAGTATATCCGTCTGATGGTCGCAAGATGTTTGGTTTTGAATCGTAAATGGCGATGGACGTTGGATGACGCATGGATTCTCTTCAACCGTTTGTTAGACATATTCAAAAGCCGACGTTTCGCCAATCTCCTCGATGAACCTTCCGACTTCCCCAGCTTCTTGCGTCACAGTAATTTGCAATTACTGTCGGAGAACAAGCGCAGCGACACCGCGTTTACGCTATTCCTGAAGTTGGTCGTGCAAGCAGCAAATGATAATCGCACCCAAGCAGACCAACCAGGTCAAATACCTCCAAGGGTAAAGAAATTGTTGTCTTTATGTGTTCCAGTGGGTTCGGTTCCTTTCACGAAAGTAACACCTCCAACAAAGCATGAATTGTCCATGCTATACAACCGTTTCAGTGCTGTTGCCGTTGCCCTCTACCTCGAACCCACTACCGCAAATCTCAAATTTCGATTAGCCAACGCACGCCGTTATGTCAATTTCCATGATACCGACAACGAGACCCGTCGTGCTTGTATTCGAGGTCTCATGCATTTTGCTATTCTCTTGCAACATCTGAGCTTGCCGCTGGACGAGTTACTTGACTGGTTGGCTGAAATGACCAGTTGCTTGATTGACGAGCATCAAGATCCACAATCCGCGGGATATTCTAAAAGTTGGATCGTTGTGTCTATTCAGATGCTGCTGGGATGTGTTCGTCGCATCATTGAAACACCGCTGATGGGTTCCATGCAGAACAAGCTGCAATATCCTGAGCCAGCACTACTAAGAGGACGTGAGTACACTCAGACATCTCCATGTGCTTGATAGCGCTAATGCTGGATATTAGCTTGGGTAACAAGGGTGCTTGCAACGACATCAAATCTGACTGGCATAGCTACAACGCGAATCGAAATTCGCAAGTTGGTTCAAGCATTTCTCGACGCCAGAGCGGCTGTTTTGCCAAAACCAGCTCGACCTCGCGTTCCCCATGTGCATGCTGAAGAGAGTCAAGAGAGTCAGGAAGAGTTCGCAATGTTTGACCAATTAGATTATAACGATCCCGAGTTACTTGCTGCATTGGGTGAACCTGGAGAAGGCTCCACTTTCCAGGAGAACAAGAACAAAGACCAAATAGTGTCAGAGGTGAATTATCCGTTTAGGTGTTGAGTTTGCGAGGCTGATGATGATATATTAGCTGATTGATTCACAAATATCACCTGCGATCTATCGCTTGGTCTGCAAGTATTTTAACGATTTAACTGATCAGGGATCTCTGGAACCGTACAGTCAAGAGGCCGATAAATGGGTTGACTGCTGGGTCGGATGTGCGAACGTTGTTGTACAGAACGGTAGAAGGGTGCGTGGCTAGTCTTTAATGTAGAGCGACATCATGTTCTGATGGGATACGGTAGGACTGGTCCCTTTACCTCACACTTGGACCTCAGTCCTGGGAACGAATCATTGACTCTTCATGGCGCCGGCGTGTCGGCTTGCGGTTTATGCTCATGTTGTTGCGACTTGACCCTCAAGCATACACAGTAAGCGATCCATCATCAGTCTCACATTATGCACATGATTCTGACGAATCTGCTACTTGCAAGACGTACAAAGATCGCTTTATAGACGTACTATTGGAATCAATGGTATCACCGAAAGTTACTATCGAGCACGAGTATATGGCTTTGTTGTTCTCCATTGACTATCTACGACACCCGCTCCTCGCGGATATTATCTGCGAGCGAGACGAGGCTACGGGTGACTACCAAATATCACGGCTCCATTTTCTTGAGCGAAGAGCGACTTTCTTGCACAGTAGGTCATGGAACACCTTGCTGGAAAGCAAGTCTCACATCTCGACGTTAGAAATATTTGAAAATTTGGCTAGTCTACTCCTTAGGGAAGCCCAAGGCGAGCTGGATTTGACAAGACAAAATCAGACTTGTGTTGGCTCCGTCGTAATCATGCTGTCGACGATGCAAGATAACCACCAGGTTTGTGGTCACTCGATTATTTCTTTTGATCCCAAAGAATTTATACTACTCGCAGCTGTTAAACGAACGCTCTGCAGAGCTCCAGAATTATGTTTCACTCTGCCAAGAGGTGTTCGGTGACCTATCACAGTTCGCTATACTCAAAAATAATCCACGTCTTCTCTCCTTAATTACTTGGGCAAACGGACTCAAACAATGATATAATTATGCATGTACACTGGATTTCACATTCTTCATTGTAGCAACACTGTACCATAGGCAATCATGGACCGATGTCAATCTGCTCGCTATCTGTATTACTTGCGTTACATAGATGACAATGTGCATACCCATGTGGTAGCTCGGAGACTAAAAGTTCTAAATAGTACCGACGGCAGCGGCAGCCAAACCTAAATCGCATTTTGTGCTGCACCCTCAGATCAACGCCGCTGTATTTCTTGTAGATACTCGGTCATTACAGCTAACCACTCTCGCTCCATCCATCCATGTTCATGCAGGGCGCCGCGAATCACAATTAGGCGTTTGGCCGATCGTCCAGCACCGTGATCCCGTGTGCTCGCACCAGCAGGATCCGACTGCTCACTTGCGCTGTACAACGCCATCCCCATAGATGTAGGTACCATTTCGTCCTTCTCGCTGAGCAGAACCAGCATTTCTTTTGAAAGCCGCGCTAGAAGCGAGGACTGCTGGTGATGAGCTATCTTCATCGCGGAGATAGCATCCCACCGGTCGAATGCGAAGGGCGTGAGGTAACGATAAGGAAGCCAGCGCTGTGGATACAAAGCTCGTAGCATGTCGGGGATAGAGCTGAACGGATTCTCGAGAATCAACCCTTTAACGGTGGGATAATCTGCGTTGCTGAGCTGCGAGGCCAGACAAACAGCGATAGAACCACCCAGCGAGTGACCGTAAAGGACGATTGAAGAATTTGGATACTGATAAGCGATGTGCGAGAGAGTATGTTTATAGTCTGAGACAATCCCGTGTTCCGTGGGAGTACGTGATGATGACTTCCAATATGAGCGGGGAGCAACGGCAAGAATGGATATGTGCAGTGCCCTCGCTGGACGTCCGAGAGGGGAGCCGACAAGAAGTCTCTCAAAGACCGGCAGTCGGCTTAGAGGATTTCCCGCATTTCCTGCACAAAATCAGCTGGCTAGTGTTGTGCGCTAAAACATAATTACCTTGCAGGTACAGTATAACCACATGCGGCTGTTTAGGTCTTGATATCACTGGGACGTCCTCTTGAACTAAAATTCCATGTAGGGTGATACGATCGCTGGTCTCCAATGATATTTCTTCACATAGAAGCTTTTTGGGTATCGGAACATCGACTCCAAGCACCTCTGACCTCGCGCCAGGTGGAGCATAACCTGTGTCAAGGCATTTATCGCGGATACTCGCACACACAACACCTCGAACAGAGACTCATACCCATATATATTATCTTGCGTTGAAATATGACCATCATAAGGCACTGTTCAAGAACAGGCTGAGACTAGATTTATAACAAGGGACATTGTGATGCACATACTTTATATGCCCATAGTGCGAGAGGTAAACCAAGTACAGTTGCTACAGCCAACCACACAGAAGGTGCCTCAGAGGAAGGTGCCAATGAGAGAAAACTCGAGCAGCTAGCGTGAATGAGTTGGGATTGCTGCGGTTTAAAGATTCTTTTGAGGTGTTGGGCATATGGTTCGGCAAATATGATAGAATAGTTTGGTGTCTGTTTTATGGCCGGAGGAACTGCACCTCTCAAATTTCCTCTTCTACAGACAGCAGACTGTAAATCATTGACGACGGACGTTCCAGATGTACAGATGGCACTTGTCCTGCTGGGCCATGAGCCTTGGACACGCGAGACCAGTGAGGTGTTTCTGAGAACAGGTACCATTCTGGACCATACAAATAACAGACCTGGAAGAGCTCATCGAAAATGAATCGAGCTAGTAGTTTCTTGAAGTCCAACCCATACCTAAGGCCTGTAGCCCTTTTGAACGCCACATTGGCAGCGCCCTCTCAATGTCTCTCTAAAATAGGCAGGTGTAGTAGTATTCAGACTATTCTGCGTAGGCTCGTACCCAGCCGTTTCGGTTTAAATCTCCGTCATTCCGCTCCTCTGGATACCGAAACGGCTGGGCAAACTGGTCGCACCTTCTGGTGGGGACGCCGGATTTGGGGGGCCGTATGAAAACGCACTTAGAAAAATCGTGTTGCTCGCTTTTCGCCCCCTTGGAGGCGTCTCTTCTCTCTTGGAGGCGCCTATTTGGCGCGAGATGCCCAATTCCCTTATGTTCAATAGTCGGGCAGATACTAGTAGAATACTCATGTCCTCAGCGTAGACTATTTATTTCGATTAATATTCTGCATTAGACAATTATACATGCTAGAGCCTTCATCACGAAGACTATGCGGGTGGCTGCCAATGCTTGAATCGCAGCGGTCTTGCCAACAGGCTTGAGCTAGTCCGATTCGAAGTCACAGATGGCCCCTCTGTTCGGTATGAATATGGTATCGTTGAAACTACCTCGCCGAAACCAGATGCGTTGGGAAATTGAGCAGCTTCAACCTGAGGCAGAGTGGAAACCATCGGCCTCTGCATCAATTTGATGTCGCCACGGCTCATCGAAGACGGCACTAATGATGACCACCCACTGTAAGATGACTCATAGTGGTCGATTGCATGAGCAGGAGGCTCCTGTGCACGCGCAGCAAATGGGATCGCCGAGCCAGATGCTCCAGGCTGGATAGGGATAGTGCTGGAGTGTGGTACTGTCGACGATGCAAGAATGTGAGTATGAGAGCCTGGCGAGGGGGGTTAAACGGGCATGCTTTGGTCTATTGCTTTGTAGCACAACATTGGCAGCACACTTGCATCCCTGTACAGCTTTGGGGATGGGAACGAATTGTGGCTGGACACCTTGAAGCAAGTCGATGAGTTCAGTACTGTATCGCTCCCCACCATATCCACGATTGTTTGAGGATCAACGCAATTGTGGAACGCAAGCGCCTTTTCAAACACCGACATCTCCCGAAAAGGCAGCTTCCAAATGCGTTCGAATGACTGGTTTTACGAGTCTATATTCTGCGCTCGAACGGTCAATTTTGTTTTACATCCATGCGACATAGCTTGGTTTTATCGAGGTAAATTACTACACAATCACTACTGTTCTTCTTGGCTTTCCAGACATTGCAGACGAGGTATGACAATTCCCGGTCTTCTACCCCTGCCCAGCTCGTCTTTGAATTCTTCGGCCAACTTGCGGCTGCGATTGACATCGTATCGAATGGCATGCCCACCATCTTGAGGAGAGTGTCGATTTAGCGTCTGGATAGTCGTTCGAGTGCACGATGGAGCGGGCGTTTCATCTACCTCTCGCTCAAAATTTGACTTCGAGCTTTGCTGGCTACAGATCCGCTGCTTCCGCTCGTTGCTGCGGAGAAAATGAGACTTAGAACGGCGAAGTCTAGCCGCAAGCTTAGGCGTGACGAGGTCTGGTCTTGCAAGCGACAGCTTCTCCGCGATTTCTAGTCGTTCGATCCTTAATGCTTGCTTACGTTGTCTGTCACTTACATAGACCTCTGATCGAGATGAGACACATTTGCTCGGCCGGGTAGGCGATATATCCGAAGCGGTTGCAAAGTGCATGAGTGTCGGTGTCGGCCTTGTAGCACGCAGAATGCCATGTGAAGCTAAGTCCAAGTTCACATCCTCGGAAATATCGTGCCGTTGAGAGGGACGAGCAGATTCCGAAGCCTTGCTGTCTTGTTCCACAATTATCTTGCGCCGTTCACTCTGCCCGTGAGACTCGTCGAACCCATTTGCGGAGTAGACCAAATCCATTTCTTGTCTCGTCCCAGTAAGACACCGATTGACAGACGGAGAGGTAATGTTCTCCGCTGAAATTTCGAGTGGCGCAGGGGATTTGCGTACCTGAGAGGATTGTCCAGGCTGTCTATCAAATTTCGGTGGGGCCGTTTGCTGGTGATTCAATTTTCGACAATGTTTAAATACCGTTTTTGGAGTAGGTATCTGTAGAATACTTCGCTTGAGTCTGCCGTTGGTCGCAGTTTGAAGGGGGGATAACTGAACAGAAGAGCCAAGATGACGTTTGGCTTGAACTGATGATGATATTCGGGTGCAAGGTGATAGGGAAATCAAATTTCTGGCACGCTTAGATGCCGGACCAGATGAGAGAGCAATAGGCGACGATGTCGTGGAGATATTTTGTGAATCATGTTGGATCCGAGGTGTAAGTGGTAACGTCGCCAGTGGCCGTTTCCTTTCTCCTCTACGTACAGGGCTCGACCTAGGAGTCGCGACGGGAGACGAGCTCGTCTGGGGCGTCCATGCTGAATTTGGACCTCCGTGGGTTCTGGGCCCAAAAATATGATACGCGGTCAAGCCTCTTTGGTATTCATTGTCACTCTCCCCATCCGTCTCCTCGTCGCTCGCTCGTTGGGTATGAGACGGTCGCATGAAGTGGATGCGCGCCAAGGCGTTCGCCGTCTCTGCCAGTGTGGCTCGACCCTGAAATGACTTGCTTGTGAGATATCCTAGAGGAGCATCCGACAACGAGTGTGTCGGAACCTCTTCAGGTAATTGATCGGAAGACTCCATTGTTCCTCCCTCAGAATCCAGCACGCGTTCCACCAGTCGTAGCTCCCTACCTCGCAAGTACTGTTTCATCATCTCCAATTTCTTACGAAGCTTGCCATTATCCGCCCACCGTTCAGCAACCTCTCGCGCACCTTCGCCTTCCAAGTTCTTCAGCGCTACATCCTCTCCCGCTTCAGAGTGTATATTGGAAGCTATCTTCTGAGCGTCAAGGTTTATATTGTCCTTTCCTACGGGCAGATATTCGTATCCGGCGTCATCTGCAGTTGATTCGGGACCACTAGATGCCAGGCATCCTGAAAACATCTGGCGCATACATGCCCAGTCCAAGCCTTTTAAGGCAGGGTCTAGGGTGTTGGGTATAAGACACTTGGGTTTAAATAGCGATACAAACGCTTGCAGCTCGGGAAGGGGCGAGTGTCGTGAGAGCGGTACCAGCTAGAGTCAAGAGATCAATTGCCGTGTACACAACACAGAAAAAGGAGAACACATACTAGGTGATTGACAACTTCTCTCCGTTTTAACTTTTCCGTCATTTCCGACAAATACAGGTCCCAGCCAGCAACACCCATGGTGACCGGGTTCACATATACGACGTGGGTGCCATTATTACTCAGACTAGGGGTCATGTTGGCAGCGACAGACGGCGCCCGAACACCCTGTCCATCTGCCGACACGTGCTCACAGCGATTAAAACGTTCGCATGCATGGAATCGCGTGCTCGCTGCATCTCGTGTGATGATGCTTTGCAAGAAGGGATCTCCTTCAATATGCAAGTAGATGGAATGCTTATACCGGTCAAGGTGTATCTGTCATCATAACGGTTGAATAATTTTTCGTTATACTCCAATGTAGAGTACCTTGGAATGGAATGCACGTGCTACGGCCTTATAAATATCTTCATATCCCCACGTCCAAGCATTGATAAAGAAGAGAGTTGAGGGAGGCATCATGGACATCAACGACACCAATCCAGAGGTTGCTTGATCCTGGAAGAACGAAACATAGAAATACGTATGAGAAATGAGACCTCCGCTAGTCATCAATCATGTCATACCTTTGTCGGCACATTGAGTGGGCTGAGTAAAGATGCTGTATCAAGATGAATGGCGTCGAGCGTTCTCATTACGGAAGACTCTGGCATCTCTACTCCATGTTCCGATATATAGGGTAGAACCATGTATCTTTGAATGAAGGGGTTCTTGGTAAGAGCCTCGAGAAACCAAGGCTCTGCTCTAAAGTCTCCCGTATGCAATACTGTCCCACGGGACCCTTCTACTAGAAACCTGGTCGTATTCCATAAGTGAGTGAATTTACATAAAATGTTTGCGAGACAGAATGTACCCGCATGAAAGACTTAAATGCAGGGACTCACATGACAGCTCCAGGACAATGGTTCGCATCAATTAGAGTAATTGTGACTGATTCGTGGTTATCAAGCTGTATGCGAGTCGGTGCATTTAAGGGGATTGCCTTCTATAAGCGGAAGTCAGGCATAGTGGTTGTGGCGCATATGTGGCGCGGAATGTCAAACTGCAAAAACGTCTGACCAGTAAATCCCTGGACGTAGAATGGTCAAGCATTCCGTCGGCTAATCTGGCAGGCTTGACCTGGAGATGACTGAAGGCCCGTACACGCTCCGCTCTGACTTTCATGTCCTTCAATGCTCTCTCGGCGTATACTTCGTGCCTTAGCAACATTTCTTTGGCGTCATAGGAGCATACGACTGTGCCAGCGAAGGAGCGTGCCGACAAGCCTGTTAAGTGGTCGGTGTGCGTATGGCTAAGTAGATATAACGCGGGAACACTCTGGGTATCTGATGGAGAAGTGAAGTCGTCCACACGAATAGAATAAGGAATAATATATGAGTCATATGGTGTTCCTGACGGCATTCTTGCTGCTGTGCTCAGTACATTGGGTTGTTAATGTTACAAGGACCAGATCGTGACGATTTGCCCGACTATCAAGAACGACGGTAGAGAAGATCTGAGTAACAGTCAATACAAAGATGTCAGACGATTGAATCCCAAACCGAGTTGAATGGCATACTTAAATTACAGAGTATTCGTGTCACAGCTACTAATTGACGTAGCGAAAGCAGTAATTGATAGCCTGTCTCAATAATATTGGAAATGAGGGGATCAAATTATCCCAAGTCAAGCCTGAAGACCAGAATATGACTGAGAATAAGCTGACGTGGGGGGACAGGACAAAGGCCCAGAATGAATGAGAGAACGGCGTGGGGCCACCCGGGCGCGACCCTGTTCAGTGTTAAAAACGCGATTGTCACGTGCATGACTGCCGTGGGTCACAATTTGTCACATATCGCCAAGCTGTGACAGTGGGACACTAGCTCCGTGATAGTGACGCTGTCTGGTCCAACTTGGTCGAACTCGAGCCCAACGAGCTGTCGTAGTTATGGCGGGCAAGTCTAAAGCACGGTGAGTATATCGAATCGGATTATGAAACACGCCAGCTGACGTATGCATTGCTCTTTAGAACCATTATAGTGCGAATGATCTCCACTGCCAGGACTGGCTACTTCTACACTACCCAAAGATTGCGTATAGGTCCCAAACTTGCTGCAGTGAAGTATGATCCAAAGGGTCAGTTTTTTCATACTATTTTATTCATTTTTCTGAGCGCTATGCACATTCCAGTCCGGTCACGAGTATTGTTCGTAGAGAGCAAGAAGACCGCGAAGTAGTTGTCTACACTTTAACGTCCAGCCTGATCTGTCCAGCTGGATGACCTCATAGGACATACCTATGAATTCTACAAGTTTCCTTTGCGAAGGACATAGGACTGTCTACACCGAATGCCCGGTGTATGTCATCGACTGGATATTTGCTAAGAAAGATAGAGGATGTCCTGACTATCGACAGTTTATACCTGCTGGACTGTATTGATGGTTTATGTTTTGCAATACACACCAGTCTTCATATTGTTGTCGCTGAGGTGCAACTCGCGCTGTCGTTTCACATCGAATGCTAATGTTTATTCAAATCCCCTGGCGACTGAACGCTAGTAACCGGGTTGTAACCCAGTGGGAAGCCGTCCACCGGTCCCCCGGTGACCGTCAAAATTCCCCCGGCTACTGGGGACGGCTAGCAACTAGTTGCCAGCCGTGATGAAATATGGTATCGGATACATGTACATGCTAACGCAACAGCACTAGAACCAAGCTGAGGCAGAATGCTACATGATGCTGATGTCAGCGCACAAGCCTTCCACGTAACAGACAACCAACAGTAAAACAGTGAAGGCAAGCTTGGTTCTCACTTATTGATACGAAGCTTGGTCTTGACTGCCGATCCAATAAAAGCTCCTAAGTGAGGACAACTCACCAAAATGCACACTACGACATGTTTGGAAACTGTAAATCGGTAACAGAAGTTGTTTCAGACTTGGGTGCAACGAACCAGTTGCATAGATTCACATACACAAACTACTTCGATTTCCACCGCTAACGAAATGTCCATCTATGAAGTCAGTTTTCTGTTCGACAATCACCAAAAAATGAATACTAGAACCTCCGTCGAGGAGGTCGAATTCTTCGGGATGATCAGGCCCTCCTTCAACCTCGCCGACGTCTCCCGTAAACGTGACTGTTATTTTTCGAACCTATGAAAAAACAGTAGGTTAGCGATAATCTCACAGTCGATCACCATCGAGTTGGGGTTGGCTGTGAGCAATGGTTCCAACGTCCAGTTCATCGGGGTCATGATTCCCTCGCTGAACGCTAGCCTAATGCCGTTGTCCATACCTGTTCATCCTCGGCTCTCGGCACTTCCGACTTCTGGCATTGCGCCGCGCACCGTCATCTTGCAAGCCATTCGCTAACTGCCTAAGGAAGATAGTGTACGTTAGCAGCAACACAGTAATACAATGTCCCCAGTTGCGATAGGCAGTGAAGCGTCCGAGGTCGCATGTGTGGGAGGGCGAACAAAATGGCTGGATGGAGAGGGAAGAGGAATATCGATTTGTGCATGATCGAAGGTCGGAAGGAGAATTTCAACGCTCTGTGTTATTGAAAGGCACTGCCTGACCAGCACTTTTTTTCAGCAGGTCCCAGCACACGGGCAACTTCTCTGGGAGTGAAGACACGCCTGGATTGCCATCAAATTCGGAAGCACTGTGTCGTGGCGACTTCGTCGTCCCAAACGGGATTTGCATGAAGAACATCTCACCCTGTATATGCACATAAGTGAAGTTTAGGTGTAATACAATGGAACACGTACCGTGAAGCAACCAGAGTATTCATACCCAGCTTCGTCAACTCAACGAGCTCTGTATTATACTCCCTTCTCCTCGTTATTATATCTCGCTGGACACGCCTCCACTCTCGGATTTCCCGAAGCGTTTCAGGGCAACCTGAGCCGCCAGCGAACGTCCCTTCGTTCGACAGGACACCTGTTGACTTGGAAGATCCATGTACGTAGCGAGGACTGTACGGAACTCCACGAATAGGACACCCTTGTGCTGCAGACACAGAAACAGAAGCACCACGTTCAGCCTCATCTGTCGGTAGTGTTTGCGGGAATGGAACGGCAGTCGGCGAAAGAGCGATGCCTTTGTTGGGCTGCTCAAATTCGTCGACTGGTTTGGCTCGAGCGATGTGGTCTGCAACGTAGATGTCGGCAGAGGGACCCCCTACCAGCTGTTCCTCACAACCCAGGTAAACCTCGTCGACCATCATTGGTTCATCGTCCCCCCAGACGTGCTCGGAAAGTTGTGACGGTGGCGAAGAATCATATTGCCATTGAAATGCGGGCTGATTCAGCGGGAATGCAACCAATGGAGACCACAGCTGTGCGAAGCCTGAACCACCGTCTTGAGGACCATCCACAGGGACCAGCACAACATTGACGGTGGTGCGGTCGACGATGGTCATATCGACCTGCATCATATTGTCCTCGTCGACGAGTTCTACTCCCTCCCCTTCATCGTGTGGATCCAATACAGGAGTGAGATGTGATGCCTCGTGGTCTTGGGAGTCACCTTCGCTTCCTCCCTCGGCATGCACATACGTTCTACGATGAAGAGAAGACATCAAATCGGCTAAGAACTGTTCAGCTTCCGCTTGCAGCGGGAATAAGCGGCTTGTATTGGATTTCGTCGTGTCTATGTCAGCCCATAACATGTACGCATTCGGCCGATCGCGAATCGTCTTCTTGCATTTGCTCTCACTGCTAGACGATTTGACCTTGGCGGAATTCCTAAACTTAGAGACTTTGGCCACGGATTTTTTCGCGGCCTGCTCGGTGTTCGCGTTAGGTTGCTTGATAGCAACCTTTTTGGAGAAAAGAATCAGCCACATGAGTCAACCACACAGAATTGCATTACCGAACGTACTGCAGGGCTAATGTCTAGGAGATTGGCACAGTTTGACGCAGCAACTCGCGTCTTTTCGTTTTCATGACAATTTTTCGCTTTTATGGAGACAGAATCCTCTCTTGCCAGCTCATCAACCTGAGCCTCGGTCTGACGAGAGTTTTCCGGTTCAGAACAGCTGATCACTTCAATATCCATCATCATAGCGTCTTCTAAATGGGGAGCATTCGTCGGAGGTAGGTGCCTTGCGTCTCCAGGAGAATCCTGACCGCAAATCTGTGAGATAGATGCTGACCCTGATGAAAGACATCTCACCGCTAGAATCATGGTTGAAGAGCCATTCCTCACAGAGATGTGACTGTCACACGCGGGAATGTACGGCTGAGACTATAGCAAACTGTTAAACGACTAGCATCGTCAGGCGTGAATATCACGGACCGTGTCTGTATCCGAAGAACTCTTGTTTTCAATTGTTGAAGTTGAATCCTTGGGAGTCGCAACGATGGAACCTGCCATGATTGTTTCCGCTCGATCTCTGCGATCATCTGAAGACGAGGGGGTATGGTAGTTGCTACTTCGTGAAGGTTCCTCCATGGGGACATGCATGGCACGGGGACGGGCCGTGTTCTGCACGTCAGATGGATGGATGGACTCGGAGATTAAGCGAGATATGCCCCTAGTCTTGCGCTCCAGGCGACCAGAAAGAAGCGATTGTGGACGCTGCCTCCTCGAAGTGTGAGAGAACGATGGATGCCCTCTTCGCAGTGATGAATTATTGCCAGAAATGCCAGAACTCTATCGCAATATCAGCATTCTGCTCCAGTCGTTCAGCCAGCAGATGTGATTCTGAATACTTACCGCGTCTTTGGGCTGACAGGGAACATGCGCAGACGCCAATTGCCTCCAGAGTCCCGAGGCGATAGAAAAATGATTCGGATTCATGGCATTCGGGTCCATGGCAGTGAACGGGAGATAGAGTGAGTGGTTATATTTGTATCAATGACAAGTGGATGAAATATGATTGACCAAACGACAAGTATAAGCTATAGAATCTGGGGCTGACGTCGGTTAGAAGACTATCAAGATTTTGATCGAGGCTGGACTCGATTGTGGTGTTCTACATTCAAAAGCGAACCCTACCTCATTCCCTTACTACTGGCCGCTGTAAAGCTTAATGATAATCTGGAACAAAGAGTTTGTGCAAAGAAATTATGATTGGTTGGAGAACAACTGATATACTGAGCGATCAGAGCGCATTCAAAATGCCGATCTTAGATACGGCTTCGATACTACTAAAGTTTTAGGTACGAGAACAGAATCAAAAATTACGACTTACAATAGGCTATGTCGTAACAATCAGTGGAGCCTACTTGACTAATGGTCTGACGCCGATCCCGTCATCCTTCAAACTACGATCTGCGTAGTTGCGGACTTGGTTATGATACGATGCTGATGAACGAAGCATAGGTCACATAACGAGGATATACGCATAGATTCGTACTCATGGGTTCATCCGTCTTGCGCTTTTTCCTCGAAGGTTCTATAGTAGAATCTGAATTCGAAGCATCAAGCGGAGGGCGTTTGCCCCGCTTTTTCTGGACATCCTGGTTAGTAAGGGCTATGAAACTCTCATTGAAGTGCATAACTCACAAAGCGTTCGTCAAAATTGCGTTTCCTGCGAAAGGGAGCTCAATAAACTCAACTACCACAACGTTCGCCGACTTACGCGTACCTCGCTAAAATCTCCTCCTGTTTCCTCGTCTCTTCTTCGTCCTCAAATGTGAAGATCCTATGTAAGAACCTACTTGGACAGCGTAAGATATGAATACATCATTACTTACCTTCTTAATTCTCTGAAAGCGCTCTAAGAAAGAGCCATCGTTAGAGAATACATTAGTGGGTTTAGGTTTTGAAGGTGCGTTAGGTTTGGTGATTGGCGGGGTTGCAGATGATGGGGCTGGAGATGCGTACCCGCTTTTATGTGGTGGGGACAATGTACTGGACATTATTGGAGCTAATCGACAATGGCAAGAGAGAGACAGTTTCAAGTAAGACTTAGATGCTAAATCGTTCAACGAAACGTTCATAGGCATAGAATGCGCAAGACAGCCCAAACTTCCAAGGGCTGATAGCAATGGATAATGTGTTTCTAAGTAAAATTACATTATCTGTGTATGTAAGCACACTGTAAGTAAGCCTAACAGTATTAAAAAAAGCAAAAAAGCAAGGTGTAATGTTTCCTGATTTGAAGCCGTTACGTATGCGCGCATCGTTCACCGCCTCCCTCTGGAGTCTGCACCGACGCCCTCAGGTATCGTTGCCCGTCCGTTGTCGTCATCTCTGCCCCGCCGATCTTCAAGCTCTCCACCCCCGCTGGCGTCTCTTCTCTTCCCTTGCTGTTCCTACTCTCGCCGTGCTCCCGACTTCGCCCGCTTTCGATTTCGGTCTTTCCATTCAAACCAAACAGTTCATAAAATGAATCATACCCATACTTGCAAGCACCACAAGCATACAACACACAAATATTGGGATATTCCGATGGGTGGATGGGTCAGAAATCGAGTAGTTGCGGATTAGTTCCAATTGCAGATTCGGGCCACTGACAGTATTGATCAAGTCATAGTTGACAAGTGCACTGACAATACCTCACTGGCAGAGAGCTCTCTGTGGAAGAACAGGATGTGTTGCTGTGGTCTCCTACCTAGATGTGTCTTCTGCACGTCTGTGTACGAGGCCACATAACAGACTGCTTAAACCAACTTGGAACGGTCTCGATGTGTTCGGCCTCGCGAGTGTACATAGCATGAATAGATTGTGTTTGTTTCGTCACTTGTGGACATGTGGGGAATGCAGGACTATCAAGAGTAGATTGGACAACCAAATAATACAGTAACAAAGCGCATCGGTGCAGAAGTAGGATGACCAGACGAGCACATATGTTGCTAGCTTCTGGTGGCGGGGCGCATAACAGATGTCAAACTATCGAAAACCTTAGATCTAGCCAAACAACTCGTCACCAATATTCGTGTAATTCAATAATGATATGGTAGGTTTATCTAGGGAAAATTGGGTCAACTCGCGCACTTTGGTGATGTACGACTTATGAGCGGCCGCGCGCAGACATCCTTCTGCTTTTTCCTAGTCGCTTCACTCCGCCTTTCGAAGCGCGCCCACCTTTCCCACTCCCACCGCGGGGAGCATCGAACTCGTCCGTCGAAGCTTTTGTATTTTGTTTGGAGTGTCTGCGGGGTCCACCAAAGCCAAATTTTTGGTCTCGGGCTTGACGAGGCAGCTTCTTGCCCTCGGAGCCTGTACCCTTGGGCCTCTTCGAAGGACGATCAGAAATCGCTTCTTCTACTGCGACATCGAATCCGTCGGTTTCTTCCGGGTTGTCTAATCCGCCCTTACGCTCTGAGAGCGTACAACGATTATTGTAGATGATCGGGAATGATAGATATAATACGCACTCCGTTTGAGACCCTTGAGTCTTTCCTCCATCTCCTTCTTCCCTCTTTCTCTCTCCTGCAACTTCTCCATTTGCACTTGCTTTCCGAACTTCTTGCCCTCCCTTTCCTTTCTCTTCTCCTCACTTCTTTTTATTGTGGCGCTCTCATCCAAGAGTCGTTGGCGGATTCGTTCCATATGTGCGTCCGATTTGACCATCTCTGCAAAGTAATCTGCCGGGCGAGTAAAAGGCAACCTATGCTTCTCAGCAAGTGACATCGCCTTCTTTGCACCATCAAGAGCCTGCTTATAACTTAACAAAATTTTGAGTATGGGTCGCAAAAACGTGACGGATAACCCACAAAGCAAGTTCTCGATTGAGGTCATCATCTACATCGACCTCGATGACCGCGGGATATGTTACAGACAGCGTCTCTGTCCAGGGCAATGATGGGTCGAGTTTGATAGTGTCCCTGATACGCTCCAAAGCGATCTGCATAGAATGAGAACTACGCATCTAGCGTGGTTGGTAGATACATACTTTGTTGTCAATTTCAATCTTTTGACGAGGAACAGAGTCCTCGTCGACAGACTCGGCCTCAGATAGTTCGTCCATGGGCACATCTGCAGGAAGATCTTCGTCTAAAGATGTCATTTTATACAGAATGCGATTCAAGGTACTAAAGGACAAAGGTCAAGCCTCATTAACGGCTCAAAGTAGTCGGCCGACGAGCAAGTCTGTAGGTCTCAGGCAAAGTGTCGTGAGCCAGGCGCTCGATTCACGACCGTATTGGGCAATCGACAGCTGGATTAGGCATCCGCCCGCGCGGGGAGCTGCGGGGAGTCGCCGGGGACTTTTCCCGCGGTTCTGTACCCGCGACTGTCTGCTCTCTTCGCTATCAGCGTGCTCGAACTTGCTGAAGAGTCGCCGCCCTCATTCGAGCAGAATCGCAAAGGTTACAGCCATTCACACTTTCGCCACCCCCTCTGGCGCCGGGCGATTTGGCTGGGAAAAGTCCCGCGCAGTTCACGCTTTTACACGCGGAATCCGCGCTTTACTTACGCTTCTTCTCGGGCGCGACAAACACTTTGCACCGTGTCCGGTCCAGTTTGTCCTCGCTCAAGTGGCATACCTCCCTCTGGAGCGCCACCCTTTCCCCATGCATGTGCATGTACAGTATGGATTATTGTAAGTAGAAGGTGGATAAATGTATTACTGATGGATGGCTAAACAAACGACTCGCTCGGGCATGCACGCCGCGACGGCTACCATTCAGAGGCCCGTGTATGTGGGCAAATCATATACTAACCTATGAATAATTAAGGTGGGCAAACTGCTCGCCGAAGGAAAGATCGACGACCTCGTTGCATTGCTACTTTTTTGCGAAAGAGCGGCCTCTGTGTCAAGCTCTTAGCTTACGCAGGTAATTGGCTTCATAATTAGCTAAATTGAACGCACTGTTCCTCTTATATACATCTAAGTCTGTCACTATTATACATAAAACAAACAAATCTGCGCATATTCCCAATCCAGTGTCCTGGACCACACCCGCTGGGAGAACACACCCGATGCCCAGGGGCTACCGACAAATTCCGCATGGTACTCCACTTGCTGAGGTGTGCGCAAACTGACATCTCGAGGCCAACCAGCTTATCTTCACCTTACAATAACACTATCTGCAGGCCTCCTACGATACAATTGAAATCACCCCGCTTGTTTAAATGCTCATGTAAAATGCAGCATTTCATTGTGGGGCAGCCGGTCTTAAGCCATATCTGTCCATCATTGCATGAGTTGAAAGTAAACCTACAATACACTGGGAGCGGATAGGGACCAAGTACTAGCAGATCCAAACACACACAGCCTTACGCTTCTAGCACACGGAAAATCTACATCTAAGTATTAGCTCCCATTGAAATGTTAGAACGACTCGAGACGGACCTTGATTGTGCCACTCTTCAAGTCTTCCAAACGATAGCTCATTGACTCCACGGTCTTATAAAATGGACCGTCCGTAAGACGTAATCGTCAGAAATCATAACATCAGGACGCACCTGCTGGCCCACATGCTGATTGGCTTGAAATACCCTGACTTTCGATTTCTTGACCTCGTAGTCTCCGATAATGGCATACAGTGGGTCTCCAATACCTACATGTTGGTGGTAGCTCTGCAGCCCTTTGTGCCCTTTGAACTTCGCATCGTGCAGAATAATCACATCACCAGGCATCAAGTCGCTGACGCGTCGCTGTACAGCACTTCCGCTTTGTGCGTAGATAAGGTGGCCGAATGAATCGTAAGGCGCCACAGGTTGTACTGCATTTGGAACTTGATTGAGCGTAGCGGTCACAAATCCAAGGTAGGACCCATCGCCAACGAGGGATTTCTTAGATTTTTCGAATAGCACTGTCGCTGTTTCATGAATCTGTATACCGACACGACCCCAGATAACGATCAGATCGTCAGCGGATATGTGCCCATCTACCTGAGAGGCACTAGCTTGTCTTGCGGTAGTTGGTTGAGAAGTGGCTTTAGTAGGAGTAGGCGGTGGTAAATTAGTAGAATCCTCCGACCATTGACCCGATAAAGAGAGATCGGTTTCGCCTCCGAAGTCGACACGTGGGATCGCTGGCTCTTCTAGCCGTCCTTCAGATGAGTTCACTGCAGCGAGTGATAACTGTGGCTGTGGTGGAGGGGGTACATTCCGCGGAGGGGGATGTGCTCGATTAAGACTCACTGTGCGTGGTGGCGGTAGAGGCGGTGGTGGCTCATCTGCAGATTCATCCTTGTTGACCATCACATAATCTCCATGAGAGTCATGCGACGGCGGCGGCGGTCTGGTTGATGGTGGAGGAGGGTAGCTGAAGGAAGACGCATCCACACCAGAGGGAGCCCTGCCTGATCTCGAGGATACCGGAGGAACCGGGACCTGTGGGACAGGCGGCCGCGTAGTCTGGGGTACAGGTGGACGCTGGAGTTCAATCGGCGATGTACGTCTGTGCTCTCGGGATGGAACAGGAGGTGGTGGCACATCATCTTGAACTTCTTCGTAGCTAACCTCCTCTGCCTCGCTTTCTTCATATTCAATAGCCTCACCATCATCAGAGACTGGGTCGGGCTGAGGTCTTGAAATCGAGACGGTACGTTTCGCGACATGTGACGCACTTTCAGATGCGGGTTCTTGACGTTGTTCCAGTTCGCGTGCATCATGAGCCTGCGGGGGGCGAGGCGGCGCTACTGCGCCAGGTAACATCCCAAATCGCAATCCACCCATACCCGCGAGGCGGGCCGCGATACGCTGCCTTCTTGCAGCCTCATCCTCTTCTTCTGAACCTTCTTGTATCTCGGTTTCGTTGTCTGATGGGACAACCTCTCCAGGGTGATCTTCCTCAGATGGAACATGGGGTTGTGGGCGATGAACAGGAGGGGGCGGAATAGGGGCTCCGAATCTTAATCCCCCCAACTTCGCCATACGCTCAGCAATCGTGCGTCGACGTGCTTGCTCTGGATCTTCCTCGGTTGTGTCGGTTATGGCAGTAGCTTCAGTTGCAAGCGAACCCGTAGGAAGATCGGGCGCTAAGGGGTCAAATTCGGGAGTGGTGCTGGGGGATTTATGGGATTTGTAGAACGTCGGATCTATAGGATCTGCAAAAATGTGATGTTTGATACTATTGAATAAAACAAATTTCTTCACTTACCACCATCCGAATCATCCAAAATCTCGTATTCGTTAGCATGCTGAGCCGCAGGGACGGGTACATGCGTAGCATGGGCACCAGTATCAACCTTTCCCTTCAAGGACGTGCGCTTAATATCCGAGCCAAGAGAGTTTGTTGGCAGAGGAGGCGGAGAAGGGGGGGATGCATCAAGGTAATCCTCTTCCACAGCTCCAGCATACCTCCCGTGCTCAATGGATAGCACCGCAGAGGTCCGACGCGGCGGAGGCGGAGGCGGAGACAAAATATCCTCTTCCACATCATGATGCAGATCAGCTGGCACTGATTCAAATGCATCAATGTTGACGCTCTGACTGTATCCTGCCTGAATGTTCTCTGCTGGTTTATATGCTTCATATGCTTCATGTTCCTCATGCTCATAGTCTTCATAGCTGTCTTCCTCACGATCAGACGCAGGAACTGGCTGTTCTTCTTCAACCTCAAGGTATGTAATGGGCCTCGATGAATGCGACGCGGGTTCCTCGAGAGTGTGTTCTTTGACGTAATGGGTCTCTGGTAACGGAACAGAAGGTCTTATTGATCTCGGAACGGATGGGGGTCCGACGTTGGTCATTTCAGGTCCATTGTCTGGTGGTAAAGGAAGCGTCCTAGGAGGCGGGGGGATCGACTGCCTTTTAGACTCATCATGGGAACGTACGACAGGTAAACGGTGTGGCTGCGATCCGCCATATTGAAGCTCGTGTGAGTACGTTCGATAACTTGTTGGCGAGGTGGCAGTGGGTCGTTCTCCTTCAAACCCATACTCATCTACTTCATGGTGAGTAATAGATATTCCATCGCCGCCATCGTACGTTAACTGTTCCGGTTCAGAAAGATAAGCAAGCGCTATGTCGTTACCGTGTAGTCGTTCTTCTTCCTCAGCCACGCTCTGTAGATCGTGAGTTGCCTCGTAAGGACCATGCGGATCGATTTCTCCTCCGCCTTCCTCGTCGGGAATTCCTCTGTCTATTGGTGCCGCGGTCGAGGTTGCTTCCGGATGGCCGGCGATATGCGCCGTTAATATTCTGGGATCTACGCGAGAGCAACTCAATCAATAACTACTGTACAACATGTTTGTCTGCACGTTACCGTGGAGACAAGAAAGTGCTTCAAAATTCACCATCCTGAGACATCCTCCGCACCGGAGGCTCAATGCTAACATTCGACTTAACGGACCCGATGCTTCCCTTCCTACCCAAAATCTCCGGCTTCTGCGAAGTCGGTAAGGTGGGAGGGGAGGGGGGAACCTGTGACCGTGAGGCGACCGAATCAGTACTACGGCGTCGTACGGCGACAGCATCCTCAGATTCGGAGTGCTTGAATGATGCAGTAGAGTCCCGGCTATCCCTTCGCAAACTCTGGTGGCGTCCAGGAGCAGCATCGATAGGGGAAGTAGGCGCTCGTAGGGGACGTCCACTTAATGGATTCACTCCTCCTGCTTTCGCAAGACGCTCCGCAATGCGTTTGCGACGGGCATCGTCATCTTCTTCCTCTTGAAAAGCAGAATCTGATGCGGCGACATGCGCTTCATCCCTAGAACTGGCACTACCTTCCTGATGATGGGCAGTAGGCTCGACCAAATTCTCCAACGGCTGCAGAGCAGAATGCACGGAATCAGTCTCAGAGTGCAGACGGTGTTCACTAGCTAAGGGCTCTCCAACAATTTCTTCAGCGACAGACGGTTCCACTGGTTGTATTGCATGTTGAGCTTCCTCCGCGGCCAAGCACTCCCTAGTTGCATCAGGAGGTCCGGCATCGGCGATATGCAAGCTCTCAAGGAGGACCTCCATCCGAGATTCTCTCATCTCTGGTTCACGGTCTCCGAGTAGTTCAACCGGCCCAGCCTCTGATGCTGCTCCGATAGAAACTCCTGGTATAGGCATAGGGCTCTCATTAATCACCCCCTGTCCTAGGACCTCTGCGGGAGCAGGCGAAGGCGACTTGGCCGCGCGCTTTCGAGGCGGAGCAGCCCTACGCGGAGCAGCTGGAACTGGCATAGAGGGTGAACGTGAACCAGGTGGGGTTCCGGAAGTAGTCGTAAGTAGGCCATCGTCTTTAGTCTCGAAGTGTTCTACAAAAGATGTATCAGTCATCGCCCCCCGAACAATGCCCCAACGTAATTGTCACACCTGTACCCGCTTTCTCTGATTCTCCTGATGCCACAGAGGGAGATATCACAGGAGGGGATAGAATGGCTACAATTATCAGGCAGTCAGGATCTGAGTTTCCAGCCAAGCATTGAGTACAGACCCTTAGGGGTCCTCTCCTCCGAAGGCTCTACAGGCTGCTCCTCTCCATGCACTTGAGGCGTCTCAGCCTTCTTCATTTCCGGCTTCCTGGCGAGCACAGGAGGACCCATGCCCACCCTAGCACCTCCCAGACGAGCCATGCGTGCAGCAATGGCTGCACGGCGCTGCCTCTCCTCCTCCTCAAAATCAGGTTCAGCCTGCGCATCTTCTTGTTCAGAGGGAGGTTCATCTCTTGCGGCAGGTTCAGGGTGCTGCTCATCGACCTGAAAATGGGTGCCAGACTCTGGTAATCCTCCTTGTTCTGTGCCGGCATTCTCAGCATCGGCGGGAGGGACAGCGACAACCGGGGGTGGCTTCCACCTTGGCTTCTCAGTTGCAGGCTTTGGAGGCGGGGTTGGCTCACCACCAAATGCCCTTAAGCCTTGTAAAGCAGCCATACGCTCTTTCAAGCTTCCACCCTGTCCAATGCTCGTCTTCGCGTCCGCAGCCGACATGCCAGGGGCAGATCTATCGGATCCATCTCCTGCGGGCGTGAGGGTAGGCGATGAGCGTGGCGTTGGCTTCCAGGATACGCCGCCTGCGGGTTTGGGTCGGGGAGCAGGAACTGGGGCCGGCGGTGACGCAGAACCGCCCTTGTTCTCGAATGCCGCTATGCGATCTCGCAGCGAGCCAGGCTTCTTGGGAGGGTCCGACATTCTCTAAGTACCGAAATAACAAGAGCGGTGAGGCAAACACGTCGTCAAAGTCGGTTGCAACCGCACCTCGTCTGCGCAAGTCGGCGAGTTTGGATGTGATTTGGATGTGATAACTCCTCAGCTGCAGCCTGCCGCATAATCGACACGATTTTAGTCATAGTTTCAGGTCTATATTTGCCTTCGGATTACTTTAACTCATCGCGTAGCTTGCTTTGCTCTATATAGGCTGAATTATTTTGGTTCCTTTCATTTCCCGCGACTATAGGCTGAATTTACACCACAAATCGAATTGAATTCTCGAATCTCCAATCGACGCAACACCCACAGGCCATCGACAGACTCACAGGCCTGACAAAAGTTTCCCATCCCATATGCACATGCAAACACCCGTTCATAGAGCCTTTACTCAATTGCTTTAGCCGTGTCACACACACCTACTTTCAACTCTACGACAGGTCGGTCGTCTTCTGTCAAGGCATTTACAGGAAGGCCGCAGCAACGCAAGTCAACCATGTTTTCGACACGAAGTCCAACCACGAACCACTATGAGAGGCTGGAAAGTGGCTTTGGATCGAGCAGGGCAAATGGATGGCGGTTTGCAGGATGGAAGAAATTTGCACTCTCGGTGGTGGTGATCATTGGGTTGGTGTATGTATTTGGGCCAAGAACAGCGGACACCCTACCAGACACCATGTCTTGTGCGTAGTGATTCCTTTAGCAGCGTGGTACGTCCTGACGAGATTTCCTTTCACAGCGATAAGTGGGCCCGACCTCCCCAACGTAAACTATATCCCCCCGCCCCTGCCCCCGCCCCTGCCACCACATGT